TGATAAACAGAAGTTTTTTCTGTCGGAGAATATTATATCTTAAATTTTCATCCCGCATTTCGAAGAGTACAAAATTCTGAACAGAATACAAGTGTTGAAAGATTTTTTTAGTTTCAAATTCATAAATCATAATAGAAAACTTTCAACTTTTTTGATCACGGAAACATCGGTCACGCCGGTCTCTAGTAATCATCTATATACCAACTTATTTTTATAATAACTTCTTACTGCAATTTTCTTTCTCTTTATTTTGGCTTACTGGATAAGTCACTCATCGTACACAATAGCTGTTCTTAGTTCTGATCTAGTTTTCTTAGTTGTGAGAATAACAACAGTTAATAGAAGAAGAATAGAAAGAGAAATCGATCGACACGTAAACATTTTACTTCTTTTACCTATAAAAAAATATTTTAATTTTGACTACAACATATATATTACATAGAATATCAATACAAAAGAAATCACTTAGAATTTAAAATATCTATATTTTCAATAGATTAACATTAGAAAATTATTCTAATAATTAATTTTAAAAAAATTTCTTTTCTTATATATTTTAAGTTGATTAAGATTTTGTAGAATTTTATGAAATTATTGTGAAAGAAATAAAAATAAATATTTTACTTTTATTAAGATTAAGGAAATAAATTTTTCATAAAAGTGCAATTAAAATTATTGCGAGAAAAAACATTAAAAGAGTTGATTAAACTTGAGCACTATATCCATATTTAATGTAATGAGCTTTAATTTAAAAAAAAGTGAGATTAAAATTTTAAGAAATTATATAGAAAATATATATTAATGCTTTTATATAAAATAATCTTTGAATTAAACTACTTGAAAAATATGTCAATAAAAAATTATGACTCGATATGATATTATAGTCATGGTCCTTTTTTGATAAAATATATAGAGGTGAGGTGACCTTGACCGCGATTAAAAAGTTGCTTTTAAAAAATCGTATATATTCAAGCGCTCGTATGCCTATATGTATATATAAAGGATGTCTCATAATAAATGGCTCACTTTTGTATCTCATTTATTATGGTGTACTCGTTATATATATATAAACTTCTTCATAGAATAGAAGACCATCTTATTCAAACTTAAGACAAAATAGATAATTTCAACAGCTAGCTAAATAAATAAGTTAATTCCTTAGTTCTTATTATCTAATTAAAGCTTAGTTTATGCATGAATTTACTTTATGTTGTACATATATTTACTATCGATAGGCATTGTTAATATAAAATAATTTTTGAGAGTAGAAATTACATATATGTAGCAATTCAGCTCTATTACGTTTTTTTTACTTTTGACAAATCATAGAAATTTTTATTAAACTTAACAACATTATAATCATCTAAAAACTTACAACCAATTTCATATTCTAGATTACTCTCATAGGTACTTCTATAGCTAGCTATCCGACAATTTCACAAATCTACGAAATTTATAAATTTTTAAAGACTTTTTGTGCTTGTACACTACTAATCAAACATTATCTATAGCATGAAAAATATGAATCACATTACAAATTCATCTATAGATTTTTCTAATTTACAAAATACTATAGAAGTCCAATGTGAAGAGATTTATAAATTATATTTGATTTATCAAATAACAAAAATAATTCTAATATTTTCTAATAAAAAACAAAACAAAATTCATAATCTCATTAAATTATAGTCATATTTGTATAGATCTAACACTATGTTCAATTAAAAATTAAATTAATCTTAGATTTTATTTTATATAATAATATTTATTTTAGATATAAAACTATTCTTTTAATTCTGAAAAAAAATATTTAATCTAGAATACTAATGGCAACTATAAATAATAATAATACATCATTAGAACCAATAGCTGTTATAGGTATAGCATGTGAATTCGCAGGTGATATTCATCCACCAAATGATTTATGGTACACATTAAAAGAAAGTCAAGATGCTGGTGGTGCAAGAACAATTGATCGATTTGATCTTGAATCATTTATTGGTCATATGCTTAATATAAATAATAATGAACAACTTCACCAAAAACTTCTTCGTGATGGTTATTTTATGTCAAATCAACAATGAGATAAATCTAAACCAAATTTTTTTGGTTTTGTCAGATGCTGAGTCAGCCAATATTGATCCATGTCATAAATCACTTATATTAAAATTTGTTGATTTACTTGATGGTGATGGATACAGTGTTGAAAAAATGTCAGGTACAAAAACATCAGTACATACTGGATAATTTTCAACAGATCATGTTATTGCAGCAGCTCGTATGAGACCTGAACAACGAATCAAGATTTTATGGACCTAATAGTTTATTATATCATTTTAATTTACATGATCCAAATGTATCATCAGATGCTGCTTGTTCATCTTCTTGAGAAACTTTACATATGACTGTGCAATGTCTCCGTATAAATGAAGCTGACATGGCTGTATGTGATGGTGTTAATGGATTCTTACGCCAGAAAGTTTTCTACAACATTCATTTATTGGTGCACAATCACCTGGTGGAAGAAGTCGATCATTTAGTGTTGATGCTAATAGTTATGCTAAAGGTAAATTCAGTTGATTAGTTTTTTTATTTAGAAATACATTTCAATTTAAATATTGTGCCTAGATGATGATCTTGCTCTTTTATTATTAAAACAATTAAGTGATGCTGAACGTGATGGCGATCCAATTGAAGCTAATTATTTAGATCGATTTTTTAATCGATCAAATCTTGATCCACCATTATTATTAGATTTAATTAAAAGTAATTTAGGACATACAGAAGGTGCAGCTGGTGTTCTATCACTTATTAAAGTTGCTATGTGTATGTATCATGGTGGTATTACAACAAATATGCAATTTACTTCACTTAATCCAAAAATAGATGCATAAAAATATAATCTATATATTCTTCAAAATTTTATACCATTTCCATCCGTTTCAAATAATGACAAAATAGCTATTGGTGTTAATTCATTCGAAACGGTTGGTTCAACGACACATTCTATCATTGAAGAATATCAACCAATAAATAAAACATCAATTGAAAATGGTCATATCGATGATGGAAATCATATTAAAAGCAAACAAGAATATTTTATCTTTATTTTTTCAAGTAAGTTCTTTTTTCTTTTCATTCATTAAATAATTTATTTCTCTTATTCAGCAAAAAGTCGTCAATCTCTTAGTCATCAATTATTGATATAGATCATAATGATGATCAAGCTTTTCTTCAACGTATATCTCAACAACTTCTTCTTAAAAGAACTATTCGTTATCAACATTTAGCAATCTTTGTTTTTCTTAGTCGTCAACAATTACAAGAACAAATTAATGCTTTTCTTACTGAACAACCATCACCAGGCCTTTCAATCATATCACGTCCAACAAAACTATTAGCACAGAAAATATGTTTTGTTTTTAGTGGTCAAGGTCCACAATGGTGGTCTATGGGTAGACTATTATATGAAAGTGAACCTTTATTTAATAAATGGATTAATTTAATTGATGGAGAAATGACAAAATTAATAATGGTGAATGGAGATTATTAGAAGAATTAATTGAAAAGAAAAATGAACAAGAATCTCGTATTAATGATACAAATATTGCTCAACCAGCATTATTTGCTATACAAGTTGCATTAGCAGCTTTACTTGTTTCTTCGAATATTTATCCATCATTTATAATATCACATAATGCTGGTGATCAAGCAGCTGCTTTTGTTGCTGGTTGTTTAACTTTAGAAGAAACTATTCGTATGTTAGCTGTTTCAATGAGTGAAGAAAATGTAGAAAATAAACTTCTTAAAGATATTGAACATTTGGCTTGTATTACTATTGTTAATAGTCCTCGTCTAGTAAAAATAAGTGGTGATGAAAAAACAATTGATGAAATACAACAAATACTTTCAATCTCTTAGCTAAATGTACTTAAAGCACGTCTTCGTATTGAAAATGCATTTCATTTTTCACATTGAAAGATATTCGACGATTTCCAATACAAGATCAAAAACAAATCTTCAATCCGATATGTGCAAAAGCAAAACTTTATTCAAGTATTACTGATGATAAAATGAATGATAATATACCAGTTGATAGTCAAATGTAAGACAAACTGTTCGATTATATGATACTATAACATTAATTATAAAAGATGAAGCAGCAAATGTTTTTCTTGAAATTTCACCACATCCAGTTTTAGCAAAATCAATTCGTGAATGTTATGAATTAACAAATCAACAACAATCACCACTTATTCTTCCAACATTGAAACGAAATGAAAATGAACAAATAACATTACTTACTAGTCTAGTACAACTTACAGCATCACCTCAAGTATGGCAACAATATTTTCATACTCGTCAAATTTTACCGTTGAAAGATCATGAAGAATATTTTGATAATTTTCCATTATATAAATTTCATTTGAGTCCATGTTGGTATGAAGCAAAAGATTCATCTATACAACGTTTAGCTAATCGTATACCTACTCATCCATTACTTGACATTCGTCAATTAAATGATCAAACAAGTGCAACATGGAAAATTCTTATTAATATTAAATTACCACAACATGCTTTTTTTAAAAGATCATAAAAGTCACGATGCAATTCTTTTCCCGGTTGTTGCTTATCTTGAACTTGCAACAGCTGCTTGTCATCAATTACTATCATCAAAAAAAGATGATCAACAACAACCAACAATTATTTTTGTAGATGTTAAATTTGTTAAAGTACTTATTTTGAATGAACATGAATTAGTAGAAGTATTTACACAAATAATTATGCCAATGCGTGAATGGTATATTTATAGTCGACCATGGTCAGTAGCTGGTCCAGATTGTATGCGTTCATCAGGTATGACTTGTACTGATGTTGTTGATTCTTTTCGTGATCAAAATAATCTTAATAAATATTCAGTAAATCAGTTTACTTTACATGCTCACGGTAAAATTGAAATAGATTTTAAAGAACAGAAATCATTAACAATACCTCCTATTAATACGATTGATGATACATGGACAACACAAGATATAACAAGTGCTTATGCACATCTTTCAACACGAGGTTATCAATATGGATCTAGTTTTCAGAAAATCAAAACATTACGTGGTACTTCAACCACAGTTATATCTGAATTATCAAATGAACATGATGATAATAATGGTTGTTCATCTTTTTATTTACTTCATCCATCTGTAATGGATTCTTCTTTTCATCCATTTCTAGTTATATTACCAGGTATTGAAACAACATTTCTTCCAGTACGTATTCAAAAATTTATTTATTCAAGCAAAACAAAAGCAAAGATGAATCAATCAACAAATATTGAAGCACGTGGAAAGTATCATGATAATATATGTGGTATAGGTCAAGAAAGAACATATAGTCTCGATTTATGGATGTTTTCAATGGATAATAAAATTGAAGAACCAATATTTACATTTGAAAGTATTGTTATTCAAGAAGTTGAAGATGTAAAATCTAGTCGATGGTGAATGGAAAACACAATTTATGATAAATTAAATCGAACAACTGATTTACCTAATACTGATCATAAAACATATTTAGATACAATTGTAAAAGATTATTGTATGAAAAGAGTATGGACTGATTCACCAATAATAAAATATATATTACATTTACCTCCATCACCTAATCAAATTCTTAATAATGAACTTAATTCTATTGGTAATCAAGATTTAATTGAATCAATAGAACTATTTAATGAATTAGCTGCTTATTATGCTCAAACGGCAATTAAAGATCTTGATTTTAATCAACAACATCATCCATTATTAAGTGCATGTCGTTCTCTTGCTTCAACTTTACATTCAGAACAAGTAACATGGCATTCAACACAACTTCGTCTTATTCAATTAATTGAACGTTTTCCTCGTTTAAAACCATTTTTAATAGCATTAAACAAATATGGTTCACATTTAAAAGATATTCTTAGTGGAGAAAAAAATGGATTAGATATATTTGTTGGTGATGATGAAATTGAACAAATTTTTCAACAAATTGAAACTCTTATAAGTGCAACTAAAACACGACAAATTTTTCATTCGATTTGTCAATATTTACAATTATAATATGAACAAACCAAAGATAATTCATTTGAAAATTATCGATGACGTATATTTTGGTTAACTGATAGTGATTGTTCAGATGTTTTACCTATTCTTGATTTTTTTCTTAATTTATCACAACAAACATGTTTATTGATTGATTTACATTATGCAGATTCTGATCCAATACAACTTGCAAATGCTCAACAAACATTTAATACACATATAAATAATCAAACAACTGATTTATATGATAGTAAAACACTTAAAAAAATACCATTAGAATCATTTGATATTATAATATCTGCACATCAACTTCTAGGAAATCAAGATTTGACAAAAAAAAATTCTTTAATGGCTCTTCGTCGTTTACTTGTTCCTAATGGTCTTCTTTTATTACTTGAATTAGTTCGTGTTCCACTTTATTCTGATCTTATTTTTGGTTTTATTGATCAATGGTGTTCGTCTGATAATGTTGATAATAATAATCATGCTTTAAATAGTATTCAACAATGAACAACATTATTAGAACAAATCCAAGACTTTAATATTACTGAATCAAAATGAAAGTACAATAATTATTAGTCAAAAAACAATATCAAATGATATATTACAAACACTTGATGAACGAATATATCAATCATAGTTAATATTTACCAAAGATGATCAAAATAATCAAAATAATTCATATTCATAATTCAACATTAAATATTATTTGTTCTGCAATACCAGTTCTATTAACTACATATAAACAAGCATCTATTATTTTTGCATGGCAACTTGATCAAATATTATTTTATGAAAATGATGATGATTTAGCATTGAAACAAAATGAAGAACTTATATATGGAACATTATCACGTATTCTTCAAACAATTTAAAAATCATCTCCACATTTTTATCCATTTGTATATATTCTTACAGATCATGCTCAATTTAATAATGATTCGAATCTTAATATAATTCCATCACCATTTATTGGTCTTGAACGAAGTTTAATAACTGAATATAAACGACATCGATTAAAACTTATTGATCTTCAAACATCATTAAATAATAATAATCAATCAATATTTATTCATACTTTAGTAGAATATATGATTAATTCAAGATATTCAACTGATACTTGTGAAGTTGTTCTTCGTCTTAATCATACAAATCAAAATCAAGTTCAACATTTAACATGGCATTATGAAATATTACAAAATAATGATGAAGAAGAGAACTCTAAATACGAACAAATTTCTATTATTCCTAAACGAGATGCTGATGAAAAAGCATTTCGTATTTGTGTACCGCCATCTCGTTTTCTTTCTTCATTAACATGGATTGAAGAAGATAGAGAAAAAGAATTATTACCATCAGATATGGTAGAAATTCGTGTTCATTGTGTTGGAATTAATTTTCGTGATGTACTCAAATCATGTAGTCTTTATCCATATACACGTAGTTTTGCAGAATCTCATGAAAATCAACCAAAACTTGATCGAGATACAGAACCAGGTTCAGATTTTGTTGGTACTATTATACGTGTAGGTCCTACAACAACTAATTTTCAAGTTGGTGATCATGTTGTAGGTGCTACTAGTGATGGTACATATCATTCACATATTATGATTAATTCACAACTTATTGTACATATTCCATCTGAATGTCCACTTACTGATGAACAATTATGTGGGATGTCAACTCCAATTTTAACAGTTATATATTCTCTTAAATATCGTGTTCATTTACAATCTCATCAAACAGTTCTTATTCATGCTGCAACAGGTGCTATAGGTCAATGGTGTATTCAATATTGTCAATATATTGGTGCTCGTGTTATTGCTACAGTTGGAACTGAAGAAAAACGACGTTTTCTTCGTGAATAATATGGCATTGAACATGTATTTAATAGTCGAGATACTTCTTTTGTTAATAATATACGTGAAATGCTTCCACAAGGTGTTGATGTTATTGTTAATTCATTATCAGGCAATTTACTCAAAGAATCAATTAAATTATTAGCATATCATGGTCATTTTGTTGAATGAGGTAAACAAGATATTTATCATAATGACAATTTATCAATGTTTCAATTAAGATCAGATTTTATTTCACTTGCTGATCATGTATCACATTTACTCTTCTTATGTTGGAAGAAGCAATTGATTTACTGATTCAACGTAAATTACGTGTTGTTGAACCAACACTTAGTTATGAAGCATCTCAAGTAATAGAAGCATTATTAAGATGTAATAGTGGTCAAGTTATGGGTAAAACAGTTTTTCGTATAACTTCATCTGATCAACCATTAAATATTCATAAAAAACAATCTAATAGTTTATTAAAAGGTAATCATGTCTTCTTTTTTCTTCCGATTATTATTTGTTAATCAATAGTTGTAAGTGATAATACAATGTTTCCATCAGAAGTTTGTAATCAAGGAACAATTTTAATATCTGGTGCTCTTGTTTTAACAATGTCTCGATGGATGATTGAACAACGAGGTGTTAAACATATAGCACTTATGAGTCGTCGAACATTAGTTCAACTTGAAAAATCTTCGAATCCACAATATAATGAATGGTTAAGATTAAAACGAACAACAAAAGAATATAATGTTTTCATGTTGATGTTGTTCAAGCAGATGTAACAAATTTTCAACAAGTTCATGATTTAATTGAAAGATTTCAAAAAACTTCTTATCCTATTCGTGGTATTATTCATAGTGCTGTTGTTGCAGAAGATCGTACTGTAAATAATTTAACACAAGAACATTTATCACTTGTTTTATCATCAAAAGTTCGTGGTGCATGGTATCTTCATCAAGCTACACAGTTTCTTGATGCACCTATTCATTTCTTTATTATGTTTTCATCAATTCGAAATCATTTACATGAAGGTTCATCTGCTGGTTATAATGCTGCTAATCAATTTCTTGATGCACTTGCTTATTATCATTTTACAAAACTTACTTTACCAGCACTGTCAATTAGTTTATCATCTGTAAGTGGTGCTGAAATGTTTCATCATCAGAAAGAAATGCTCAGTACTTTAAGTGTTACACAAGGTTTTGAATTAATGCCAACAATAACTGTATTCGAATTAATTGAATCTTTTCATCAAACTCAAAAGATTTGTCCATGTTCTGTTATTTTTGCTGTTAATTGGCAAACATTACATCGAAATTATCCAACATTAGCTACATCTTATCTAAGAAAAATAGTTGATCAACGTTATAAAGAGATGAAATTTGATCAAATATCATCATCATCAGGAAAAAACAATTCCACTGAGTATAGTATGAGTAAAAAAGAAACAATTATTGAACGAACTCAATCAGCTGTTGCACGATTATTAGGTGCAACTAGTGTTGATCGTATAGTTATTGATCGTTCACTTGTTAGTCAAGGTATGGATTCATTAGCTGCTGTTTCATTATATAATTGGTTAGGTCAAGAAACTGGTATTTATATACCATTAGTTGATTTTCTTCAAGGACTTTCAATTGAAAGAATTGCAACACTTGTTTATAATAAACTTAATGAAAAAGAACAAACAACATCATCATCAGCTACAAAAGAACATGATCTAGATTTTGATTCAATTAATGAAAATGCAGTTCAATATTCTGATACATCAACATATACTGGTTTAGAAAATATCATTTGTCTACATCGTTCGAATCAAAATAATACTTCAACTCTTTTTTGTATTACTCAAATATCAAATGATAATAATAATGAAGATTTATTTACATTTTTTATTGATAAATTATCTAATGAAAAAGATGAAACATCATCAAATGATATCTATGCTTTACAAATACCAACAATAACATCATCATCTATATCTACATATGCTCAAATCTTATTACACAAATGCGTCGTATTCAATCATGTGGATCTTATCAAATAGTAGCTATTAGAAAGAAACCAAAAGAAACTATTGCTCATGAAATTTTAAAACAACTCAAAACACATTCATGCATTACTAATACTCAATTACATCTTTTAGATGCTCACAATTAAAATATACTCACAATTATTATTTAATAAAATATTTATTCTTATTTACTAAATCTATTTTATTTATATCAATTACCGTAATATACTAATATTTGTAGATTTCTTAACAATACTAATAAATTTCCTCGATAAAATATTTTTTTGTAAAAACCTATAATAGTTAATCAACTCACTAACAATATTAAATTAATATTCTTATTTATTATCTAATATAATGTCATAGCTACTCAATTAGTTCTTTTGTTTCATTTCGGGGTATTATTATATGATTGTGTATTGGTTTATTGTACTTTTGATAATAATATCACTCTCGTATGATGTGGTCATATTCTTATTTCATATTCTGAAATATTTATTTAGTTTTTCTCATCTTCTTTCTTTAATTTCTAGATTCTATTAAGCTATTCATTTCACATTAAAGGATTGATTTCTTTATTATACAATGCTTTCACGCAAACGTATCATAGCAGGAACAAATGTACATAAAGAACCGGAATTTACAACTTCAGAACGAACAGAAGCTGTTGCTTCATTTGTTCAACAAAGAATTTGGCTTCATGAACAACTTTATTTTCATTCTTCAGACCTGCCTGTTTACAATATTTTGGTACCATTGATAATCAAGCAAGATTCATTATCAATCAAACGTATTCGTTCAATTTTACTCACATTAATAGAACAAAATAGTGTTCTTCGTACTGCTGTTCGTTTTAATCCACAAAGTAATCAAATCGAACAATATATTCAGACTGCTACCGATGAAATTTATTCATTTCAACATTCACGTGGTATTAATGCATCAGAAGAGCTTGACCGATTACTTACCAAGGAATCGATAGGAAAATTTTTCGATTTTGAAAAAGGCAAAGTGTTAAGATGTCATATAGTGCAGCGACAAGATGATAATAATAATGCTGATGGTTTATTATATGAAAATGATATAATTGCTCTCAGTTTTCATCATATTGCATTTAACAATAGTTCACTCATGGTATTTATAAAAGCATTTAAACAAATAGAGTTGACTAATGAGCACCAACCAATATTATCAGTTCCACAATATATTGATTTTGCATTATATGAACAAGCATTGTTAGCTGATACAAATATAGATTCAAAAATGAACAAAGCACGTCGATTTTGGTCTAATCTTATGAATGGTTATGATTAGAATTGAATATAACATTTAATACTTCATGAAAATAAAACTGATCAAATTCATTCTGATCGTGCTTATTCAACTGCATTTAGTTTTCATGAAAATATTGTTGATGCAATGATTTCTTTTGCTTCATCAAATAATCTAACAATGTTTTCATTATCTCTTGCTTGTTATTATGTATTTTTGTATAAACTAATCAATATGGATGATGATGATTTATGTGTTGGAGGTGTTACAGCTAATCGACCAAAACAAGAAATGAAAGATATGATTGGCATGTTTGTTAATCTTGTACCATATCGAATGAAAATGGAAGCAAAGAATTCATTTGAATATCTGATACGAAAAATACAACAATTAAGTAGTGATTTTCTCGAACATTCTTGTTTACCTTATCAACATATTATTAATTCACAAGATCAACAAAATCATCAAGTATTACCTTCAACATTATTTCAATATGAATCTTTAGTATCATCAGTGACAGCAAAGAATAATATTGAATCTAGTACTATTAAAGGAAATTATGTTCTTGCTGTTTATTTTGATCGAGATCGATCACATGGTAATGGTGTTGCAGCATTTGATCTTACTTTTACAATATCACATGATTTAATCATGCACGAACTACAGAATGTTTTCTTGATTGTTCGATTGATACATTTAAAAGCCAAACTAATGTTGATCTACTTGCAAATCGTTTTCAACATATGCTCAAACAACTTTTCTCTTCTTCTTCTTCTTCAGTTATTCATGAACCAATCTATAAATTATCCATTGTTCTTCCAACTGAACAAGAATTTATTCATCAAATGAATAATACAGATATATCTACATCTTATTCATGGCCAAATACTGTTCACGAATGTTTTGTTCAACAAGCACAATTATATCCACAAAAATTAGCTCTTGAACTAGATGGACAATCACTTACTTATAGTGAATTATTATATTCTGTATATTGTTTAACAAATTATTTAACTGATAAAATTCAACCAAATGAAATTATATGTCAATGTGTCGAACGATCTTTTGAAATGATTATTGGTATGTTAGCAATCTTATCAAGTGGTGCAGTTTATTGTCCATTATCACCTTTGGATCCACCAGAACGACTTAAAACTCTTATTGAAGATACATCTGCAAAGACTCTTCTTATTCATAGTTTTACTTGGCAAACAATTCTAATGACTTATACATCATGTAATCTTATTATAACAGATTCGTTTATTATGTTCAATCATATTAATTATAATAATGATCATCGTATTACCAAGCCAATATCTGTTACATCTGATAATATAGCTTATATTATTTTTACAAGTGGAACAACAGGAATACCTAAAGCAGTTGTTATTTCACATTCTCATCTACTTTTATATCTTCAATCTTCTGTTGAAGTTGATGCATTACGTACAACTGATAGAGCTATACAATTATCATCATGTACTTGGGATGTTCATATTCATGAAGTAGTTGGTACTCTTCTTGTGGGTGGTACTGTTATACTTTTACGTTCAGAACAAGGCAATCGTAATATGGATTATTTATCTCAAATTATTAAAATTCATCAAGCAACATATATTTGTATTGTTCCTACATTACAAATTCTTTTGTTTGATATTGTACAAGCACAAAAAGCAGTTCAGCGACCCAATACTCTTCGTTTAATATGGTCTGTAGGTGAGGAACATTATTATTAATCTTCTTTTATCAAATATTCTTTTGTTTTCATATATATATGTTCTTCTAGGTGGACCAATCTCATGTCGTTTTATTGCTCGAATTCTACCTATGTTACCTATTGGATGTCAATATATAAATTTTAGTGGTGCAACAGAAGGTACAGTCAATAGGTGAAGCTCTCATCAATAAACTAGTTAATCTATTAAAAAGTCAAGTGAGAAGTGAATATCGAATTCGAATTCATTATGGTCCAGCTGAACTTACTATTAATTGTATCAATCATCCAATTGATCTCAATAAAAATCAAATAGATATTCCGATAGGTCAACCTTTTCCTAATTATCAATTTTTAATATTAGACATGTTCTTACAAACTGGTGGTATTGGACAGGAAGGAGAATTAGGTGTTGGTGTTTTTGCTGGATATCTTGATCGTGATGATTTAACAGCTCAAGTAATGATTAATATTAATGAGCAAGTATTTTATAAAACAGGTGATCTTGTTCGAATGGATAGCAATGGATTTATTCATTATGTTGGTCGGAGAGATTTTCAAGTGAAACTACGTGGACAACGTATTGAATTACAAGAAATTGTACAATGTTTACTTATGTTAACATCTATTACTACATGTGTTGTTATCAAATGGGATGATAATCATCTTATTGCTTATGTTCAAAGTGATACCATTAATGTTGAACAATTACGTCATCATTGTCAATCTAATCTACCATCACATATGGTTCCATCAATATTTGTTATACTTTAAAAACTACCTTTGAGTCCAAATGGAAAAGTAGATCGAAAACGCCTTCCATCACCAGATTTATTATTATTGACTCTCTCATCAACATCATCATCAACGACAACAGCATTAGAAAACACATCTAATCCTCCGCAAAATCAATTAGAAAAACAAATACATGATATTTGATGTGGAATTCTTCGATGTATTGGACAACACATTTCAACAACTGCAAATTTCTTTAGTATTGGTGGTCATTCACTTTTATTTATTGAACTTTATCATCGATACCAACAGTTATATGATTTTGATAATCGTGTACTTTCTATTGCTTTATTTCTTCAACAACCAACTATTCTTCAACATTCACAATTACTTCCATCTATTACAATCAATCAAATGAAATCAGAACATTGGCATACACTACATATCAATCAAGGTAATAAGAATTTGTAATGTTAATATTCAAAAAATAAACTAAAATATTGTTTTTTCTCTCTCATTAATAATGAAAATCTTTAGGTATTGCATCTTTTGCTCAAGAACGTATTTTTCTTGATGAACAAATGCGTTTTTCTAACAAAATTGCTATCTACAATGAACTGACTGCTTTAAAAATTATTCAAGGTTCAATATCAATAGATCGTCTATTAGAAGCCATTGGATATATTTTAAATAAACATAAAATATTACGTACATTTCTCACTTTCAACAATGATAATGGTATTCTTGAACAACATATTGATAATAAACATCGTATATTTCAACTTGTTCCGAATCAAACATTTAAAAATGAAAATGAACTTCAAGATATTCTCTATCAAGCAATTATTAATCCTAATTTATTTGATTTATCCACTGGTCTTGTTTTTCATTGTGAAGTACTTCGACAAGAAATCATATCTAATAACAATGATACTAACAATAGATTCATTACAGATTCCGATATTCTTCTTATAGCATTTCATCATGCTGCAACAGATCGATCAGCTTATCAACTTTTTCTAAATGATCTTTGTTTTGCTTATAATACAAATGTGAAATGGACAGGTGATGAAGATTTATTGCAATATATAATTATGCTGTTCATGAACGTTTAATTGATATGAAACCATCACGTGATTTTTGGCTTCTAGAATTGAAAGACTATGATTTTGAACATCGATTATCATTATCGACTGATCAACATTGTTTATGTAATGATCAACGATCTGGTATTGCTTCAATTGCTCAGATTTCTTTTGATAAAAATATTTCAAAATCATTTGTTAATTATGTTTCTACACATCAAACTATTCCATTTCAATTAGGTATGGCATTATTTTATATTTTCCTATTCAAATTAACTCAAGATCAAAATGATTTATGTATTTCTTGTCATAATGCGAATCGATATAAAACTGAATTACAAAATATAATGGGAATGTTTATTTCAACATTACCATATCCTATGAAACTTGATTCTAATAGGTCATTTAATGAACTTGTTAAACAAGTACAAGATAAATGTATATCAATTCTTGAACATTCTCATTATCCATTACAAAATATTCTAACTGATATTCATGCTGATCAATATAATGTTTCTTTTCTTCAAACAGTATTTGATTTTATTACTCGATCTCCTGATATTGATCAATTATCTTTCGATGATGTCAATGTAAAACCAATTGAATTAAAACAATCCATTGAAATTGCTAAATTTGATTTTATGTTAACATTTATTTACAATCCAATGTCAAATGATGATATGTTATCTTGTCGTATTGTTTGTTCACATGATCTATTCGAAGATATGACAGTTACAAAAATTGCTCGACGATTTCAATATCTCATTGAACGATTATTTTCAATGGATTTTAATATTAATCAAACTAATATTCTTGTTTCACCTATTACTAAACTTAGTCTTATTTCACCTGAAGAAGTTTATGAAATGGAACGAATAGTTTTTTTTCGACAACCAGATACTATGAATGAAGGTAAATATATGTCTTTAATGTATTTGAAAAAATAATTAGACGATAGAAATATACGTGTACAGGATTCACACCTACATCCCTACCCAATACCATCAAAATGAAGTATATTCATCTTTTAATGTTTTTATTATTATTAAAGATCACCAGCATTATATGCTCAAGCACGTATTTGGCTTGATGAACGAATTCGTTTTGATTCAAAAAATCCTCAAGTTGCTATATATAATATGCCTTTTCTTCATCGACTTTCATCAGGTGGTACTCTATCAATATCTAAACTTCGTCAAGCTTTACAACATGTTCTTATAAAACATTCTGCTCTTCGTACATCACTCTATTTCGATACAAATAAAAATATATTAATGCAAAAGATTATTGATCATACTGATAATAAAGAATTATTTACATTTATTGAAGGTACTTTCGAAACAGATGAAGATCTCAATAAAATTATGCATAGTGAACGTGGGAATCCAAATAATTTTAATCTATTAATTGGTATTGTTTGTCGATGTCATGTTGTTTATTATAAAAACATTTCTCAAAAAGGAATAATTTGTGAAAAAGATGCCCTTATCTTTAATTTTCATCATACTTCATTTGATTTTTCATCGATAAAAATGTTTCGTCAAGATCTTGATCAAGTATATACAATGGGTTACTTGGCAAATGATGATAATATAACTTTACGTTATCTTGGTTGTATGTTAAATTATTTTGTTTATTGTTTTTATATTTTATACTGACATACTTTTCATTTTATTTAAGATGCCGTGGCTAAACAACAAATACCTATGACAGTTGTCAATGCTTTTTGGCTTGATGCTCTTCATGATTGTGAAATAGATCGACCTTTACAATTATCATTTGATCGACATCGTGTTTCCGATGAATATCGTACAGGTCGTGGAATATCAATTTCATTTCAATTTGACAACGATCTTTCAAAAGCATTTCTAACTTATGCTTCAACATATAATATTAAACTTGAATATTTAGCACTTGCTTCTTATTATACATTCTTATTTAAATTAGCCAATACTGAAAATGATATATGTATTGTTATGAATAATCATGGTCGATCGAAACCTGAATTAATGTCAATTATTGGAATGTTGGTTAATGTACTTCCAATGCGATATCAAATTAATTCTAATCACTCATTTAATGAGTTCGTAAAACATGTACAAACAATAGCAACACAAACATTCGAACATTCTTATTTTCCTCTTCAACGTATTCTTGCTCAACATCCACATATATCTCGTCCTACAATTCTTGATGTATTCTTTGAATTTGTTTCTTTTCCAACTGATGATAATCATAATGAAGTGACATTAGGAGATGTTCCTATTTATACTATGCCTTATTCAATTCAAATAAATACAGGTGAAATTGCAAATAAATTTGATTTTTCTCTAAGTATTATACATGATACAATAACCGATCAATTAACATGTTCAATCGAGGCATCTCTTAATTTATTCAATCCATCAACAACATATGAAATTGAACAATGACTTCAAGTTTTACTGCAACGACTTTTTACATCAAATTTAATGAATTAAACTTGTCAATCGATTTATGAATCTTCAATAATATTACCTAATGAAAAGATTCTTATGGCATCAATGAATAATACTCAAACTTTATTTTCTTCATCGAATCATTGTATAAAACAGGAATTTATCCAGCAAGTAAATAAACAATCACAAAAGATAGCCATAGAACTTGATGAACAGTCTCTTACTTATAATGAATTATTATATTATGTACAGTGTTTATCTCTTCAATTTCTAACAAATTCAAATTATATTCCTGGTAATGTTGTTTGTCAATGTATAGATGGTAGTATATCAATGGTAAGTTACATTATAAAAAACGAACTATTTTCTATTTAATGAATTATTCTTATATTATAGTTTATTGGTATGCTGTCTATTATTATGGCTGGTGGTTCCTATTGTCTATTATCACCTCGGGATCATGAACATCGTCTTCAATCTCTTATCGTGCAAACTCAAAGTAATCTAGTTCTAGTAGATTGGACAACACAAAATAAATTCAAAGAGAAAACGATGATACTTAATATTAATATAATGCTAATAAATAATAATGAAACAATCAACATAAATCATTTAGATCTATTTTCAACTTTTACAATAAACTCGAAAAAAGTTACTTTTGTAATATTTATCAGTGGTTCAACAGGCACACCAAAAGCGGTAATAATTATTTCATAATAACACCATCCTATCATAGTTTTTTGTTTTCTTATTTAAAGGTTCAAATGATGCATTATAATCTATTGCATTGTATTTGATTGATGAAGAATTAGAAAAAAAATCGAATGATACTGATTGAAAATGTTTTTAAGTATCTTCAATCATCTTAAGGGTGTGGATGTGGTTATGGATCGCCTCTCTACATTATACACACTATACCTACACTCACACTCATATCCACAATTGCACACTACATCTGATGAACATTGATTACGAAAGGATCTGTGTACAGATTATTGTACGCTCAACGTGTCTTTCTAAGTTAAAGACTTATCGTCAAATGAGGAATGAAATTTCGTCGAAAATTATGATTTTTAACGTGCGTCTGCGATCATAAAAGTAACGTCTTTAGTCATTAAACTATTAAATTTAAAATTTACAATGATTTTGGTGTGGGAAGTGAGATTACAGAACACTTATCTCTAAAGTTGAAAACCCATTTGTAAGTCTGATTAACATAACACAGTCTTCATATATTTAGATTCATAGAATAATCGACTGTAATCCGATTTATCGATATATTTCACGAGGTTTATTGAACAGTATATCGAGTTTGAAAGAAATACCAGAAGTTTAAATGATTAAGATGGAATCGCCCAGATAAACACGTTTCACGATTATTATTGAACTCGATCAAGAACTCAACAACACATTAATTTTTATCCAATTATCAGAGTGTAGTTTTACCGATCTCTGTTACAAAATTTGAACACAACCATATTTTTTTCTTTTTTGCATGCATAATCTCGCTTGAACAAATAAGTACAAGCTGAATTAGATATTGTGATTCGAGGTCTACTTTACACTATCCTCTAACTAGTTTTCGTTTCAGATTTAGTTCATTAAGTTTTTAGTAGTTTTGAAACTAACAAAAACATGACTACTCAATACTATATACTGGAACAACTGTTTCGCACAGTTCAACTACATCCACAAAAAGTGGCGGTAGCACTTGATGATCAGATGTGGACGTACAGCGACTTGGTGGAACAAATCAAACGCGTAACCTATTATCTGCATCGTTCGAACTTTGTTCGAGGCCAGATTGTTTATCAATTTGTCGAACGAAGTTTGGAGATGGTCTCTGGGTTATTTGGCATTATATGCGCGGGTGGTGTGTACTGTCCATTAAATCCCACAGATCCATATGAACGAGTTTCTTCGATTCTCGAACAATTACAAGGTTTGTGCGTTCTAACACATAAAAAAACCCGTCGTCTATTTCCTACAACAAATTCAATCAAACAATTTATTCTGCTAGACGAGATTCTTTCTCCATTATCAGATGTGGAAGACATGAAAGAGCTTCCAGGTTGCAAAGAGGATGGTGATGCACTTATTATTTGTACATCTGGTACAACTGGTCGACACAAAGCTGTAGTTCATTCTTTTCGAAGCTTTTCAACTTGTATTCGTGCTTATAGTCAATGGGACCTTGGTGTATACACTAGTCGAGATCAGGTGCTACAGGTTGCGGCATGTTCATGGATTTTACATATATCAGAAATCATGTTACCGCTAGTTGTTGGTGGCACACTTGTGTTGCTGAGACCGAATGGACATTTAGATATCGACTATTTTTGTCAAACTCTAATGCAACAACAAGTGACAACAACTACAATTGGTCCTGGGATAATTCGAGCGCTTACCAGTTACTTTGAGACAACCCAACGGCTGACTACTTTGAAGTTTGTACGTAATGTGATCACAACAGGTGACTCCGCAATCTCCAATTACTTGTAAAAGAATGTTTTTCTAACTGATTTCTATGTCATTTAGGCGAAGCCATGAAGCCCCAACAATTAGTGAAGTTAATCGGTGTGTTACTATCGTTTGATGTCAAAGTATGTACCCAGTATGGTATGACTGAATGCAATACAGTTCTGGGCTGTCGATTACTCAACTTAGATGATGGCTTTGTACCTATGGGTCATCCACTTCCTGGTTATCGATGTTTGCTCATCGATAAACAGGGAAAAATCATAAACAATACGAATAGGTCCAGTAAAATTGGTCAACTGCATGTAGGAGGTATGAAGGATTTTCTCTTCTATACCTATTAGGGATAGTCTTTCGATTATTCCATTGTAGGATCAGCCCTATTTAACCGTTACTTCAATGATCTAGAGCGAACTAACAATATGTTCGTCACTATTGATGACCAAATTTATATGAAAACGGGTGACTTAGCTCGATATAATGAACGAGGTGAACTGGTACATGCTGGACGTATTGATTTTCAAGTCAAAGTGCATGGTCAAAGAGTGGAGACAGCTGAAATTGAAAATACAATTATCACTTGTTCTTCTGACAAGATCTTCAACTGTCTTGTCACCAAAGCTCCACAGAACGATAATTTTCTTATTGCCTATGTAGTCTCGAATGACTTACAGATCGATACAGAAGAAATTCGACAGCACTGCAGCAAATATCTTCGTCAATATATGGTTCCATCGATGTTTATTGTATTGGAGAAGCTGCCATTGAATGCCAATGGAAAAATCGATCGTAAGAACCTGCCCATACCAGACTTTTCGGCACTCGCAACGATTGCTAATGATCGCAGATACATAGAACCAATGGGAAAAGTCGAAATACTTGTGCATTCATTGTGGTGTGAAATACTGGATCATAGTCGAATTTCGACAAGTGCAAACTTTTTCAGCATTGGTGGTCATTCTATTCTATTTATTCGAATCTATCAATATTATCGAACGTTATTTAATTTGGATAATGAAACAATAAATATTCGATCATTCCTTGACCATAATACCATAGCCGAACATGCAAAACTACTAGAAAATATTGAGAACAATAATATACAAACAAAACAATGGCACACATTACATATTAATCAATGTAAGGCATATAGAAACACTTCTGCATCGGGATAAAATATTTTTCTTCTAATTTATAGGTATTGCATCCTATGTCCAACAACGCATATATCTTGATGAGAAAATGCGCTTTTCTGGAGAAATTGCCATTTACAATGAACTGATCGTTCTACAAGTTACAAAAGGTTCATTATCAACGAATCGTTTACTGCAAGCTCTTCGTTGTGTTCTGAGCAAAAATAAGATACTTAGAACTTCTCTAGTTTTCAACAACGTTGATAGTACTTTAGAACAATCTATCACTGATGAACATTTGACATTTAAATTAGCTCCCGAGCAAACATTCAAAACTGAAACTGAACTTCACACTATTATCTCACAGATAAATACTAATCCTAATTTGTTCGATTTATCAAGTGGTCGTGTTTTTTATTGTCAAATTCTTAGACAACAGATGACACCTGATGAAAATCATGATAAAGAAGTAGTTATAAATTCTGATGTTCTCGTTATCGGCTTTCATCATGCTGCAATTGATCAATCAACGGTCTCAATTTTTTTAAATGACCTATGCAGTACTTATAATAGTAACATGACGTGGTTAGATGATAAAGAATCATTACAATATATTGATTATAGTGTTCATGAGCGTCTAATCGATATGACACCATCATGTGAGTTTTGGCGTTCTCAACTGAATGGATATAATCAAGAATGTCGATTGACACTACCAGTTGATCGGCATTGCTTATGTAGTGACCAACGATCTGGATATGCCTCCATTGCTTATATCTCATTTGATAATGAGATTTCGACATCATTTATCAATTATGCATCTTCGCATCAAGTTACACCATTCCAACTAGCTCTAGCTACATTCTATGCATTTCTTTTCAAATTAACATATCGACAAAATGATTTATGCATTTCTTGTCTCAATGCAAATCGATACAAAACTGAATTACAGAATATGGTTGGAATGTTTATTTCAACATTACCATATCGCCTTCAAGTTGATCCTGACTGGTCATTTGATGAACTTATTGAACATGTGAGAGAAAAATGTGTATCAATTCTTGAACATTCTCATTATCCACTACAACATATTCTTACAGACTCTCAACTTAAACAATCACAAGTTCCATTTCTTGAAACAGCACTCAATTTTATCACTCTCTCTGAAGAGAGTCAATGGTCCATTGACACAGCAACATTGCAGCAATTACCACTACAAAAATCCTATGGTGCTGCAAAATTTGATTTTGACTTGACTTGTCTTTACAATCCATCATCCGATGGAAGTAAACTATCATTTTGTCTAACTTGCTCGCGTGATCTGTTTGATGAGACAACAGCTATAATCATAGCTCAAAGATTGAAACATTTTGTCGATCAACTTTTTTCATCAAAATCAATTTCTAATGAAATTAATCCAAACTTTGTATCTATATCGAAACTTAGCTTGATTTTACCGACAGAAGCTAAAGAAATTGAAGATACTGTCTTCTGTCGACAACAGAATATTGTCAATGAAGGTAAGTTTCTATAATTCTTTTCTCCTTCATTTTTGTTTATAAAGAAACAGATAATCTATAAAAATGACAAGAAAATCTTGTTTTATGAACATGAATCATGCCATTACATCTGATATAATCAAGATTGATGTTAGTTATGAAGTTTTTGAATATGATACTAAATCCTCGATTAGCCCACACAATTAACCTAACGTTTTACCTTATGATATATATAAGCTACCATCATGGATTATTGTGTGCTGGATGCTTATCAAGTTTCTCTTCTTCCTCCTTTTCTATGAACCACGAACTAGAAGCGTTTCTAAAATAAAAACAAAAACTTCAAGCGATCTCTCTTTTCTTCACAAATATGATCGATACTATCACGAGCATAGTCTAAAATATGAAACTTAGTGCATATATCTGAAAATCGGCTGAGAAAAATCATTAGTTTATGAGCGAATTGAAAAGATCCATGAAATATACACGTTTTAATTTAAGCATGCCTAATGAATCGAAGACATTAAGATAGATTCCAACTCATTTATTAAGGATGTTTTTCTGTTAGTAATCACAATTATTTTGTGTTTTACATCTTAGATTCAGAGGCTGCATTAATAGCTTTCTTCCTTGTCTTCCATAAATTCTCATAAAAATTAATATGCTAAATATTAATACGTTTAATCTAATTAATACTTTTAAAACGATGCTAACTTTTAATGATATTGTTAGTATAAATAGTTTCTAATAATCTGACTTGGCTGTGTTTATGATCTTCGATGTTTTTCTTCTACTTCCTATACGTTTTATGCATCATTCCAGTTGGCTTATTAAAATTCTTCCATCATCAGCCATCAGGGTTACCGAAAAATGTAGTCATAACTTCATTTATATCTGACTATTATCTCGTTATTAATTGCAGCACCAGCATCATATTCACAAGCTGGGATCTGGTTTAATGAACAAGTTCGGTTTGATCCGAATAGACCACAGCTCGCTATCTACAATATGCCCTTTCTCTACCGTTATAATAAAGGACATACTTTATCAATAAAACAACTGCGACAGGCTCTTCAGCTAGTTGTTAGAAAACATCAGTCTCTTCGAACACTACTTATCTTTGATGCAGCAAAAGATTCACTTATGCAACAAATTGTTGACTTCCATGATGATAATAATAGATTGTATGCATTCATCGAAACAACTTATGAAACACAAGAACAACTCAATCATATCATACATGAAGAAAAATATAATCCTCAACTATTTGATGTTGCTCAAGGTCTTGTCTTTCGATGTCATCTTGTTTACTACAAACAAATCTCTTCGGATAAAGTTCTTTCTGACAAGGATCTAATTATTTTCAACTTTAATCATGCTTTGTTTGATTTTCCATCAATGGAAATCTTTCTCTATGATCTCAATCAAGCATATACAACAGGCCAATTATTATATGATGATAACACTAATCTTCGTTATCTCGATTGTAAATATAAATACTACTTGTATCGTTGCTGTTTCTAATATATTATTTTCTTTAATTATATGATAGATGCTGCTATTGAACAACAAATGTCAATGATCGATGCAAGTATGTTTTGGCTTGATGCTCTTCATGATTGTAAACTTGATCAACCTTTGGCATTACCATTTGATCGATATCGTCTTGCAAATGAACATCGAACTGATTGTGGAACAACTATTTCTTTTGATTTTGGTAAAGATCTCTCACATGATTTTCTTACACATGCATCATCAAATAACATATCACTTGAACATCTCACATTTGCCATTTATTTCATCTTTCTATTTAAACTAACTAATGAACAGACAGATCTATGTCTTGCTATGAACATCAATAATAATCGATATAGAGATGAACTCAAATCAATCATTGGATTATTTGAGAATGTCATTCCATTACGATGTCAATTAGATCCACATTGGTGTTTTCATCAATTATTTGAACATGTTCGAGAGATAACAACAAATAGTATGAAATATTCATATTTTCCACTACAACGAATTCTCAACCTGCATCCACATATTTCCAAACATCCATTTTTGGATACATCTCTGGAATTTATATCATACAAGAGCAACAATGACAATAATGTAATTATGATTGGTGATGCTGAACTTGTTCCAGGATCTTTCTCATTCAATGTTAATGAAGATGAGATATTAAGTACATCCGATTTCTCTCTTTCTATTTATCATGATATAAACATGAATCAACTATCATGCACAATCAATGCATCACTTGACTTATTCAATCGAGACACAGTGGAGAAGATTTCACAACGATTTCATTTCATCTCAAATCAATTATTTGTATCTACTATCGAGAGTCATTTAAACAAACCTATCTTTGAATTATCATTAATATTATCAAATGAACGATATCTAATGCAATCAATGAATAATACACAAGTATCATTTCCATCTCCTGTCACTTGTATTCATCATGAGTTTGTATATCAAGTAATGAAACATCCACAAAAAGTAGCAGTTGAACTTGATGAACAATTATTGACATATTGTGAACTCTTATACTATGTACAAATATTATCTTTAGCTCTGCTAAATGAATATCATGTTATTCCAGGTGAGATCGTGTGTCAATGTGTTGAGCGAAGTTTATCAATGGTAAGCTCATTGAAGTAATAGTTGTTTAAGGTAATAAAAAATTCGTTTGAACTAGGTGATTGGTATAATGGCGGTTGGAATGGCTGGTGGTGTTTATTGTCCATTATCATCTCGAGATCCACAACATCGTTTGCATGCACTCACACAACAAACTCAAAGTCGTCTTATTCTTGTTCACCATCCTACAACGTTAAAGTTTTCTAGTAAAATCGTTTTATGCAACGTAGATTTAGTATGGAATGTCGACCACATTAATAGTCCTGTAGTTATGGATCGCCTTTCGAATATTACAGTAACGGCAGATAATATTGCATATATTGTTTTTACTAGTGGTTCAACAGGAACATCGAAAGGAGTAGGGTGAACTCTTGTCTAAATAATAGTTTTATATGAGTTTTGCTTTGTAGGTCCAAATTCGGCATCGAAACTTTTTGGCTTGCATTGATTCTCTTGTTCGATTGAATTTATTTACAAATAAAGGGACCTTGATACAAATGGCAAGCTGTTCATATGATGTGCATGTTCAAGAAATCATTGGACCTTTAATAACTAGTTCAACAATTATAATGCTTGGTCCTCAACGAAATATGGATTTAGACTATATAACGAAGACGTTAAATGGAAAACAAGTATCATACTTCTCGTGCGTACCATCATATGCTGATATATTGTTGGAATTTTTACAAAGCCACAGCTTTCCAAGTTTGAACAGTTTGCGCACTGTTGCTGTTGGTGGTACGTCTCGCATTTTATTTATTAAGTACTTACTCTTGAAACTTTCTAGGAGAAGCGAGCACAGTTCAGCTTATTGACAAGTTATATGCATATCTGCCACAAGATAGTTTTGTATGGAACGGCTATGGACCTTCAGAAACAACTGTCGACTCCACAATTTATGTCATAGGTAGGAATATAAATATGATTAACATCCCAATGGGACGTCCACTACTCAACTATCGATGTATAATTATCAATCAATATTTACAATCATCTGTTAGCGGTCAAGAAGGAGAATTGTTTATAGGTGGTGTAGGTGTCTTTGCTGGTTATCTTGGACGTGATGATTTAACTGCAAAAGCTCTTGTTGAAATAGATGGTGAAATATTTTATCGAACTGGTGATCTTGTTAAAATGGATAACAATGGTCTTCTTCATTATCAAGGAAGAAAAGATCATCAAGTCAAACTACATGGACAACGAATTGAACTTGGTGAGATCGAACGATGTTTACTTAACATCACATCTATCTCTGCTTGTGTTGTCGTGAAATGGAATGATGATTATTTAGTTGCATATGCTCAAAGTTCTGATATTGATGAAGAACAACTGCGTCAACATTGTCAATCTTATCTTCCACTACATATGATTCCTTCAATATTCATCATACTTGACAAATTACCCTTGAATGTAAATGGAAAAATTGATCGAAAACTTCTTCCTTCACCTCACTTCTCGTCTACAAATCTCATAAACAATATAGAATTATTGTTACCAATAAATGATATTGAAGTTAGTATTCAACACATTTGGTGTGAGATATTTAAACAAAATCAAATCTCAACTGATACAAATATCTTCACTATTGGTGGTCATTCATTACTTATCATGCAATTGTTTCATCGATATAAGATCGAATTTCATTTAGAAACAAATACTCTTTCTATTTCAAATCTATTTCAACATCCAACAATTATTCATCATGCTCAGCTCATTCAACAATCTATTAATACCATCCAGACTCTGGATAACTCTCCTTGGTCTTCATTACGACTTATTCAAGGTAAACAACATAATTTGTACTCGATATTATTATCAACTATATGTTCATCTTTTTTTCTCATCCTAGCTAGGGCATCATTTGCACAAGAAAGAATCTATTTAGATGAACAAATTCGTTTCTCATCCAACAAAACAACTATGAATAATATGTATGTTATTCCATTACTTTATCGAATATCCTCTATGAATGATCATGTATCAATTACTCGATTACATCATGCATTTGAAAGCGTTATTGCAAAACATAATATTCTTCGAACAGCACTTTATCTTGATATCAATGGTGTTATTCTGCAAGATTGCCAACCTATGAGTATCTCAATCAATGATACGGAAAGATATAGATTCTCAGTAGTAAATATGTCTGAGGAAGATTATGGAAAGAACGAAACTATTAAAAAAACATTAAATCAAACTGACTTATTTGATTTATCAAAAGGACATGTTATTAATTGTCATATTCTTCGTCAATATCAGTCTAATCATCCATTTATTCACAATAATGATCTTTTAACTAAAGATGATCTGATATTATTTACCATTCATCATGCAATGTTTGATGGGGTATCAACATCAATATTTCTTCATGATCTTTCTCTTGCTTATCAATCTGATGACTCATTATCTATGGATGAAAATACATTGAATTACATCGATTATTCTGTTCATGAACATATCATGGATATGTCATTATCTCGTGAGTTCTGGCATTCTCAACTTGAAGAATATAATATCGAATCTTCATTAGCATTACCAGTTGATCGACAACGTTCATCAATTAGTCACCAACGTTCAGGTTTAGCATCCACGGCTGGAATAACTTTTGATAATGAATTATGCACATCATTTCTAAACTATGCATCATCGCATCATCTCACACTCTTTCAACTTGGACTATCTATATTTTATGTTTTCTTATTCAAATTATCTCATGGTAAGACTGATCTATGTATTGGTTCTATCAATGCTAATCGATATCGAAGTGAATTAGTGAATATGATTGGAATGTTTGTATCAACATTACCATATCACATTGAACTTAATCCTTGTTGGTCATTTGATGAAGTAGTTGAATATGTGCAAGAAAAATGTTTATCAATTCTTGAACATTCTCATTATCCGTTACAGCATATTCTTGGTGATAATCGATCAAGTCAATCGAAAGTATCATTTCTTGAGACAATATTTGACTTTATCAGTGTGTCAAAAGATGTCGAACATTTATGTTTCAATGATGCAAATTTAGAACAAATATCATTAGAACAATCACTTGAAATGTCTAAATTTGACTTTTCATTAACATTTGAATACAATCCATCATCAGATAACAAGAGATTATCATGTCGTTTTGTTTGTTCACATGATTTGTTTGAAAAATCAAGTATTTCAAAAATCGCTCAAAGATTTCAATACATGTTTCAGCAATTGTTTCAAACACAATCAAGCAATACTCCTACGATCGATATGAGTTCATCGATTAGCAAAGTATGTCTTATTCTTCCTGATGAAGCTAAAGAAATGGAATTAGTTGTGTTTCATCGATTTGAGAATATTGTGAATGAAGGTATGATTGTATTCTGTTTGTTCTATTGTTTTATAATAGTAATAGTTAGTTTAAGCACTAACGAGAAATATGCATTAAAGTACAGTGCAATGTATAGAAATCGTGTTTTCAGGTTTTGAATGAATCCTAACGGAATAAACAGTAAGAAAATAGGGATTCAGATGAGTTAGGATCGTCAATGACTCAGGTTGTCTTTTTTAGGTACTCTAGTTTTGTAACTTTTAAGAAGAGATCGCTGATTAATATCTGCTTTGAATATGTGAGTAGTCTTGTATTTTTGTATTATTCATTAAAAATTAACACTTGCTGTTGCTCGAAAGTTGTATAGTTCATTTTTTAGAAACAGAAGAACTATGATAGTAGAATCTTTCATAAGTCTGTTTATGTATAAACCGGAACTCTCTCAGAACTACGATGCGCTCATAAATTTCATGCCGGAAAACAAATCACACTTAAGCTACTCAAGCTATTGAATAGAGTCGGTAAAATCCAGAGTTTATCATTGACGGGACTAGTTCTTTTTGATCTCTAAGTAAATTAAGTACTAAGTATGTGACAGGTCACTAGTTATTAGTAATAAGTTGTCAAAGTTTTTGGGTGTCGAAACTGAAATCGAAGTGAAAAAATAAAAATTCATGCAATCGAATTTAGAACCACCGGGAAGACGCCATTCTGGGCCACGGTGGGGTTGTATAGTTATAAACACCTATATCACATAGTTCTCTACCATCAAACATTTCTGTTTGCTTTTGTTTTCCTCGGACGTTATATATAAAGATAGTACAAAAATATTTTTACTATTTTCACTGACTAGGTGTGCGTGTGTAGATTGTAAAAATTGTCAAACATTGACAGCATATAACTCTTAGAAATTATTCAAATGTCTACAGAATCATTGTATGATATCATAAAGGATGCTGCATTTGCGTATTATAGTTGAAGCTTTTATTATGCATATTGCTAGTGGTTATACACCTTATTTCATATGAGTATTTCATTCAGATTAGTTTCTAATACAGCTGCAGAGATTTTAGTTCCAGATTAGTAACTAATACTTTTAGTGATCTAGTGACATATGTCGAAAAACTAGAATCGCATAAACTTATTTCAAAATAATTTTTTATGTAGAAGTTAAAGCGATTTTCTGAAAGATGAATTCGTAACGGTTCACAATCTTACTTTTTTTTAAACACCGTCAATACTTGCATTATGTTAATGCAAATTTAGTGAGAGTACCAAACAATCGTGTTTTTTTACATAAACATAGAACTATTACATAGTACTATGGATGCGCATAAAAAAGTTCCATATCAGAATCGTTTTATCAGATTTTATCAAGACTAATAATATTCCTCGATTTTTGAAGGAAGATACGATGTCATACGATGTCATACGATGTTGGGCTTTTCATCCTGAGGTATTAAACTATTTTTATTACTACTAACACAAAATAGTGAGCCGACGCCCGTACAACTGGGATCTATTCAGTTGGAAAAGCGATTCGATAGAAATAGTCAGAATATTGATATGAAAGATGGTTTCACCATCCAGCTTTTACATTATAATTAACTATACTCTCATTATTCTAGCACCAGCATCATTTGCACAAGCTCGTATTTGGCTTGACGAAAAAATTCGATTCGATCCAGACAAGCCACAAATAGCAATCTATAATATGCCCTTTGTTTATCGTCTACAACCAGGTCATACTTTATCGATTAAACAACTTCGTCATGCTCTGTACCTTACTGTTAACAAACATCCCTCACTTCATGCATCACTTCATTTTGACATCCAAAAGAATCTACTTATGCAACGAGTTATCACTCATGAAGATAAGAATAATAATATGTTTTCAATCATCGAAACGACTTATGAAACAAATGAACAACTGAATGAGATTTTACACGAAGAGAAACGTAATCCCCATCTTTTTGATCTTGACCAAGGTCTGGTCTTTCGATGTCATATTGTTTACTACAAACAAATCTCTTCAGATCATCTACTTTCTCACAAAGATCTACTTATCTTTAACTTTCATCATGCTCTGTTTGACTTTTCATCTATGGATATCTTTCTTGATGATCTCAACCAAGCATATACAACAGATCAATTATTATATGATGACACCGCTAATCTTCGTTATCTGGATTGTAAATATAAAGATTTATTATACTTTCCTCTTGAGTAACTCATTCTTTTATTCTATTATATAGATACTGTTATTGAACAACAAATGTCAATGACTGGCGCAAGTATGTTTTGGCTTGATGTTCTTCATGATTGTAAACTCGATCAACCTTTATCATTACCCTATGATCGATATCGTGTCTCAAATGAACATCGAACTGGCCGTGGAACATCTATTTCATTTGATTTTGGTCAAGATCTCTCGCATGACTTTCTTCACTATGCATCATCAAATAGCATATCACTGGAGCAACTTGTACTAGCCACTTATTATATTTTTTTATTCAAATTAACGAATGGAGATACAGATTTATGCATTGGAATAAATACACATGGTCGATATAGAGATGAACTTAACTATATCATTGGGATGTTTGTGAATGCAATACCATTGCGATGTCAACTAGATCCTCATTTATCATTTCACAAAGTCTCTAAGCACGTTCAAGATAATATGATAAATTGTATGAAATATTCATATTTTCCTCTTCAACGTATTCTCAATCAACATCCTAATATATCAAATCCTGTATTTCTTGATACATCATTCGAATTTCTATCATCTATGACAAAAGATGAGGAGAATGAAATGGTGATTGGTGATAGTCGATTATCTTTACTACCTTATTCGATTAAGATTAGTGAAGATGAAACAAAGAGTAAATTTGATTTCATTGTTAGTTTTCAGCATGATCTGAATCTAAACGAAATTTCATGTACCATTAATGCATCGCTTGATTTATTTAATGCTGAAACAATTGGTACAATTGGACAAAGATTTCAGACAATGTTACATCAACAATTCACATCTTTCAACAGTACAACAAACAAACCTATTCATGAATTATCAATAATGTTATCAGATGAACAGTATCTAATGCAATCATTGAATAGTACACAAATATCATTTTCATCTCCTTTCACTTGTATTCATCATGCATTTGTATATCAAGTAATGAAGCATCCACAAAAACTAGCTGTTGAACTAGATGAACAATCATTGACATATAGTGAACTTCTATATTACGTTCAAGTCTTATGTTTAACTCTTCTTAATGAATATCATGTTTCTCCAGGTGAAATAGTTTGTCAATGTGTTGAGCGAAGTTTATCAATGGTAAGTTGATTAAAAGAAATAACTATTGATAAGAGTTTGAGATTGATTTTTGATTAGGTGATTGGCATTATGGCGATTGAAATGGCTGGTGGTGTTTATTGTCCATTATCATCTCGAGATCCACAACATCGTTTGCATGCACTCATACAACAGACACAAAGTCGTCTTGTACTTGTTCATTATTTGACAAGAACAAAATTTGATCATAATATTGTTTCACCTGATATTGATTCAATATTAAATATGAATAATATGAATACTGACATAGATTATAATTACCTTTCAAGTGTGATAATGAAAAGTGAAGAGATAGCGTACATTATTTTCACTAGTGGTTCAACTGGAACACCCAAAGCGGTTCGTTTTCACTTCATTTTTCTATTTTTGAGTAATGTCTATGCTCTTTCATAGGTTCAAGTTCGACATAAGAACTTTATTAACTGTATTCATTCTTTCGTTTACATTAACTTACTTAATAAAGATGATACAGTAGTACAAATAGCACGATGCTCATTTGATATTCATGTTCAAGAAATACTTGGTACACTGTCGATTGGAGGCACACTGATTATGCTTCATCCAGGTGGAACTTTTGATTTCAATTATTTATCTGAAGTCTTAGAGAATAAACAAATCACATATCTAAAAGCAGTACCAAGTTTACTACACATTTTTTTCACTTTTATTCAACAGAACAAGAACATGAATGCTGTGAAATATCTTCGATCACTTTGTAGCGGTGGTGAGTGATTTTTAAAGCAACTACATTCGTTTATTGCATTTATTTTTTGTGTTGTAGGTGAGGCTTTTTCCATTCATTTGATTGGCTTGATTGTGAAAATCGGTGTAACAAACTGTATTGTGTGGAATTTGTACGGTCCAGCAGAAGCAACCATAGATTGTACAGTTCATTGTTTGAATTTTATAAATGATATACCGAATATTCCAATTGGTAGACCATTTTATAATTACCGATGCATTATTATAAATCAATACTTCCAATCATCTGCCACAGTTCAAGAAGGAGAATTGTTTATAGGTGGAGTAGGTGTCTTTGCTGGTTATCTTGGACGTGATGATTTAACTGCAAAAGCTCTTGTTGAAATAGATGGTGAAATATTTTATCGAACTGGTGATCTTGTTAAAATGGATAACAATGGTCTTCTTTATTATCAAGGAAGAAAAGATCATCAAATCAAACTACATGGACAAAGAATTGAACTTGGTGAAATCGAACGATGTTTACTTAACACTACATCTATTTCTAATTGTGTTGTTGTGAAATGGAATGATGATCATTTAGTTGCATATGTTCAAAGTTCTGATATTAATGAGCAAGAATTGCGTGAACATTGTCAATCTCATCTTCCACCACATATGATTCCATCAGTATTTATTATACTTGACAAACTACCTTTGAATCAAAATGGAAAAGTAGACAGAAAACAACTTCCTTCACCCGACTTTTCTTTATCGACTTTGTTATCGTCCAATAAATGTGATACTCCTCTTAATCAGTTCGAAGAGCAGATACACATTATCTGGTGTCAAGTTCTTCATTCTAATCAAAATAACATTTCTAGAACTACCAGTTTCTTTAGTGTTGGTGGTCATTCACTGTTGTTTATTGAACTTTATCACCATTATCAATCAGTATTTAGCTTTGATGCTCATTCACTTTCCATTGCTCCATTTCTTCAACAACCAACGATATTTCAACATTCACAATTACTTCAAACAGTTACAATGAGTAATATCAAGGTAACTCAATGGCACACACTACATATAAATGAAGGTAGAAATATTCACTAGGAAATTATTAAAATAACTCCTATTATTTAACTCACAGGTATTGCGTCATTTGCTCAAGAACGTATCTTTCTTGATGAACAAGTTCGTTTTTCGAGTGATACTGCTATCTATAATGAACTGATCATCTTACAAATTGTTCAAGGATCATTATCATTCAATCGTTTATTACAAGCATTTCGATATGTTTTGAATAAACATAAAATATTACGAACATCTCTTATGCTTAATAATGATACTGGTATTTTGAAACAATGCATCACAGATATATACAAAACATTTACAATAAGTATGAATCAAACATTTCAAAATGAAAATGAACTTCGAGATATTATGTATCAAACAACTATTAATCCTCATCTCTTCGATTTATCAACTGGTCGCGTATTTCATGCTGAAATTCTGAAACATCAAATATCATCAAATGAAAATGAAAATAATAACAATGAGTTTATAACTAAGTCTGATGTTCTTCTCATTGCTTTTCATCATGCAGCATTTGATCGAGCAAGTCGTTCAATCTTTTCTAATGATCTATGTTTAACTTATAATACTAATGCAACATCGATAGAAGATGATGAATCATTGCAATATATTGATTATAGTGTACATGAACATCTAATTGATATGACAACATCTCATGAATTTTGGTATTTACAACTAGCAGGATACAATTTAGAATATCGATTACCATTACCAGTTGATCGACATCGTTTATCTAGTGATCATCGATCGAGTACTCCTTGTATCACTGGAATCTCTTTTGATAACGAGATTTCACAATCATTTCTTGATTATGTTTCTATACATCATGTGACACCATTTCAGTTAGGTCTAACTATATTATATGCTTTTCTTTTCAAGTTAACACATGGTGACAATGATTTGTGTATTTCTTGTCTTAATGCTAATCGACACAAAACTGAACTACAGAATATTATAGGAATGTTTGTTTCAACATTACCATATCGTCTTCAACTTGATCCTCAATGGTCATTTGATGATCTTGTTAAATATGTGCAAGAAAAATGTATATCACTTCTTGAACATTCACATTATCCACTTCAACATATTCTTGCTAATTTACATACTAATCAATCAAATATTTCATTTCTCGAGACGATGTTTGACTTTATTACTATATCGTCACAGAGTGATGAATTATCTTGGGATGGAGCAAGTTTTAAATACGTGTCACTAGAACAATCATTTGGGGTGGCTATGTTTGATTTTATGTTAATGTTTGTCTATAATCCAATGTTGGAAAATAATAGATTATCATTTCGTTTAACTTGTTCACATGATCTGTTTGATGAGATTACAGTTACAAATATAGGTCGAAGATTAGAATACTGTTTTCAACAACTGTTTTCATCGAATGAAACTATGAATCGAATTGATACAGGTTTAACATCTGTATCGAAATTCAATCTTATTCTGCCAGAAGAAACTCAAGAAATGGAAGATGCTATCTTTTGTCGACAATCACATATTATAAACGAAGGTATGTTTATCTAGATATGGCATTTGTCATAGTGAACATTTCTATTGACAATCAATACATTATGCCAAAATGTCACTGCAGATATGTTCCTATATCGTTCAAATCATCTGAGAACCAGCGCTCAACCATAGGGTGGGTCTGTGACTATGAATGGATGTGGATGTGTATCCTTTATTCATATACATACCATACCTACACCTACCCATCTACATTCTTATCTACCCGCACCCGTTCGTTGAGTTATTCGATAATGATTAAAACTCACACAAAATAGATTTCACAAGGAATATCATTAATCATATTTGATTACTTGCTCTTGTATATAGCACCAGCATCATTTGCACAAATTCGACTATGGGATAATGAATCTATTCATTTCACTCCTCACATATCGCAAATACCAATCAACAACATGTCTTTTGTTTATCATCTACACAATCATCATACTTTGTCAATACAACATCTTCGTCATGCTCTTCAGCTAACTGTCTTAAAACATCAATCACTTCATACATCGCTTCTCTTCGATACAGAAAAGAACCTAGTCATGCAACGAATCATTGATATGAACGACGACAGTAGACAACTTCTCACATTGATTGAAAGCACTTATGAAACACAGGAGCAACTTAATGACATTTTACATGATGAGAAATATAACCTTCATCTTTTTGATCTTACTCAAGGTCTTGTCTTTCGATGTCATATTGTTTATTACAAACAAATCTCTTCAAATTATCTTGTTTCCAACAAAGATACACTTATCTTCAACTTTCATCATTCTTTATTTGACCTTTCATCAATGCAAGTGTTTCTTCATGATCTCAATCAAGCATATACAACAGGCGAACTATTATATGATGTTAACACTACTCTACGTTATCTTGATTGTAAATATTAACACATCTTTGTAATTTTCTTTTTACTAACACATTCTCCTTCCTTTTTCCTTTCTAGATGCTGCTATTGAACAAGAAATGTCCATGACTGGTTCAAGTATGTTTTGGCTTAATGCTTTACATAATTGTCATCTCGATCAATCCTTATCATTACCATATGATCGATATCGTCTTATGAATGAACACCGAACTCATCATACAACATCTGTCTCTTTTGATTTTGGACTAGATCTTTCACATCATTTTCTTCTATATACATTATCAAACAATATCAAACATGAACATCTAGCACTTGCTACTTACTTTATCTTCTTATTCAAATTAACAAATGGTGAAAAAGACTTGTGTACTTCAATGAGTATCGACAATCGTTATAGAGATGAACTAAAATATATGATTGGACTGTTTGAGAATATCATTCCACTGAGATGTCAACTAAATCCTGCTTGGTCTTTGAGCCAATTTATTGAAAATGTTCGAGAGATAACAACTAATAGTATGAAATATTCATATTTTCCTCTTCAACGTATTCTTAGTCAACATTCAAATGTTTCAAAACCAGCATTTCTTGATATATCATTTCAATTTCTATCATCTATGACAAACAGTGACAATAAACTAATAATGATCGGCGATAGTCAACTTTGTTCCATACCTTTCATAATCAACATTGATGATTTCTCACTTCTGATCCAACATGATCGCAATATCAATCAACTGTCATGTACAATCAATGCATCACTTGATTTATTCAATGTGGAAACAATTGATAAAATATCTCAACGATTTCATTCAATCTTGAATCAATTATTTACAGCTGTTGATAATCAAATGAATAAATCAGTCTATGAAATATCATTAACATTACCAAATGAAAGATTACTCATGCAATCAATGAATAACACACAAGTATCATTTTCATCTTCTGTCACTTGTATTCATCATGAATTTGTATATCAAGTTGTGAGGCACCCACAAAAACTAGCTGTTGAACTGGATGAACAATCATTGACATATGCTGAACTTCTATATTATGTTCAAGTCTTATCTTTAACTCTTCTGAATGAATATCATGTGTTTCCAGGTGAGGTCGTGTGTCAGTGTGTTGAAAGAAGTTTGTGGATGGTGAGTTATTCTTTGAGATAGATATTTAATCTGATTGAAATTTTCATATTCTGTAGGTGATAGGTATAATGGCGATTGAAATGAGTGGTAGTGTTTATTGTCCATTGTCACCTCGAGACCCAGAACATCGTTTGCAAGCACTTGTACAACAAACTCAAAGCCGTCTTGTTCTTGTTCATCATTTAACAAAATCCAAAGTTAATAATAAAATTGTTTCAGTTGACATTCATTCAACATGGATTAATAATGATATAATCAGTGATGTTACCATTGATCTACTATCAAGTATTACAGTCACATCAAGTAATATTGCTTATATTGTTTTCACAAGTGGCTCAACTGGAATACCAAAATCAGTATGTTTCAAAGTTTGCTACATAATGTTTTCTTGAATCTGATCTTTTATCCCTATAGATTCGAGTAAGACATCGGAATTTTATACATTTTACACATTCATTCATGCACATCGGTGCTCTGCATAAAAATGACATTGTCATGCAACTTGCTACTTCGTCATTCGATGCACATGTACAAGAGATTTTAGCTACTTTGGTTTCTGGCGCAACAGTAATTATGCTGCATCCTGATGGTAATATAGATTTCGCATATCTCAATCATAATCTGTATGAAAAGCAGGTGACGCATTTGCTAGTTGTTCCTTCATTTGTCACTCACTTATGCAACTTCATCGAGCAGAATACGGTTCATTCATGGATATCAATAAGAAATATTTGCTGTGTTGGTGAGTTATTTTCAAGAAGTTAGATTAACATTGACATAGTCGTTTAGGCGAACCTATGTTGTTCTCATTAATGAAAGTATTGACGCATCATATAGTGAGATCTTGTCGGGTTTGGAATTTATATGGCCCAGCGGAAGCCACATTGGGAACTACATATCATTTAGTTAATGAAATGTCTAATATGAATACTGTTCCGATCGGTACATCGTTTCCAAATTACAAATGTTTAATCATAAATGATTTCTTACAGTCCGTCACCGATACCCAAGAAGGTGAATTATTCGTTGGAGGTGTTGGTGTTTTTGCTGGATATCTCGGACGTGATGATTTAACTGCAAAAGCTCTTGTTGAAGTACATGGTGAACTATTTTATCAAACAGGTGATCTTGTTCATATGGATGAGAACGGTCTTCTTCATTATCGAGGAAGAAAAGATCATCAGGTGAAATTACATGGTCAAAGAATTGAACTTGGTGAAATTGAACAATGCTTACTTCGAACATTAATTTCAGCTTGTGTTGTTATTAAATGGAATGATGATCATTTAGTTGCTTATGTTCAAAGTTCTGATATTGATGAAAAAGTATTACGTGAACATTGTCAATCACATTTACCATTACATATGATTCCATCGTTTTTTATTATACTTGAAAAGTTACCATTGAATGCAAATGGAAAAATAGATCGAAAATTGCTTCCACCACCTAATTTTTCATCAATAAATCTCACTAATTCTAATGAAATTTTGTCACCAATGAATGAAAATGAAATCATCATTCATCAGATTTGGTGTGATTTATTACAACAAAAACAAATCTCTACTAGCACAAATATCTTCACTCTTGGTGGTCATTCACTTCTCATCATGCAACTCTTCCACCGATATAAAAAACAATTTGACTTTGAACCAAATACTCTTTCTATTACTGAGCTTTTTCAACATCCAACAATTACAGATCATGCTCAACTCATTAGTCAAACTATGAGTCTGACAAAGAATGTCAATGAATATTATTGGTCTTCATTACATATCATGAAAGGTAACATAGGATATTCAACAATATTCCATTAACTACATTCTATTTCTCTATTATAGCTAGAGCATCATTTCCTCAAGAACGTATTTTCTTAGATGAACAAATTCGTTTCTCATCCACACACAATAATACTAATAACATGTATCTTATCCCATTAATTTATCGTATTTCATCTATGAATGATCATATATCTATTTCACGACTACAACATACTTTTCAATCTATTATTTCTAAACACCAAATTCTTCGAACAGCACTCTATCTTGATATAAATGGTACTATTACTCAACATTGTTTAGATACAAACAATATTATTCATGATAAGAAATCATCTAGATTTTTTATGCTTAATCTTCCTGGTGAAGAACATGACCAGAATGAAACTGTAAAGAAGATCTTAAATCAATCAGATTTATTTGATTTATCAATAGGACATGTTATTAATTGTCATGTTCTTCGTCGTGATCAATCAAATCATTCATTCACCCAGAATAATGATGATCTATTGACTAAAGATGATTTGATATTATTTACCATTCATCATGCTTACTTTGATGGATCATCGAGATCAATCTTCATTCGAGATCTTTCTCTTGCTTATCAATCTAATGGCTTGCTTCCTATAGACGATAATTCATTACAATATATTGACTATTCTATTTATGAACACATAATGGATATGTCATCATCTCAAGAATTTTGGCAATTAGAACTCAAAGGATATAATGTTGGACGCCAATTATCATTACCTGTTGACCGACAACGTTCATCAACTAGTCAACAGCGATCAGGTTTAGCTTCTTCAGCTGAAATCTCTTTTGTTGATGAAATATGTAGATCATTTCTCCACTATGCATCATCACATCATCTCACACTCTTTCAACTTGGATTATCCATATTTTATATATTTCTATTCAAATTAACTCATGGTCAAACTGATTTATGTATTTCTTCTGTCAATGCTAATCGATATCGAAGTGAATTAGTGAATATGATAGGAATGTTTGTATCAACATTACCCCATCGTGTTGAACTTGATCTACATTGTTCATTTGATGAAGTAGTTAAATATGTACAAGAAAAATGTTTATCAATTCTTGAACATTCTCATTATCCACTTCAACATATTCTTGCTGATTTACGTCTCACTCAATCAAATGTATCATTTCTTGAAACAATGTTCGATTTTATCACGGTATCAAAAGATGTTAATTATTTATCTTTGAATGGGGTCAACTTAGAAGAAGTGTCGTTAAATGAATCATATGAAATAGCTAAATTTGACTTCTCATTGATATTTCTTTATAATTCATCATCAGATGATAATCACCTATCATGTTCTTTTATTTGTTCACGTGATATATTTGATGAGACAACAGTTACCGTCATAAGTCGAAGATTTCAACATATTTTAACACAATTATTTTCCCCGAAATCAGGCACAGAGTGCATTGATTTATATCGTGCATCTATATCAAAATTTGATCTTATTCTACCCGAAGAAGTTGAAGAAAGAGAAGCAATAATGTTTCATAGATTGGAAAATATTATTAATGAAGGTACGCTTAGTTTTTAATTATGTTTATGTATATAGTACCTATATCAGTTAGAACGATCAGCGTTAAGAACGGATTCAGGCGAACTATAAACTGATATATTATTGTGCTTGCTGTAGGATATTTGCTTTTTGATTGAAATGAAAACGTACAGAGATTTTCATGATTAAAATTGTGGTGACATCATATAGATACGATTATTTTATAATGTGTATAATCTAACTCTCTTTAGTTTATGCGTAGTGACAAACTCACGTGGAAAGCTAGCTTAATCTCAGACCTCACGTTACGTTCTTGAATTTTCTTCACAATATTTTTCTTTCTAAAGTAAAATAATCTAATCCAAAACATGATTTATATTACATACATCACACACACTCAGACACATACTAATGAGAACACTGAAAGGAGATAATACGACATAAATTAAAAGCTTCTTTTGCTATGAAACTATTCTTTTACTGTTTGAAAACTTTATTACTAAAAGCTTATGATAAATATTGCTAATAGATTTTTTTGTGAATTTTGATGTGTATTCAGATGAATTAAATCTTTATATATGACATTGTTGATTTAGATAAACTAAGATGGCAATAATACTATGCGAGAGCAATTGATTATCATGATTACTCGCTGTAACCGATTAAACTTTAATTTTTATAGCACCAGCATCTTTCGCACAATGTCAAATATGGTCAGAAAATCAAAGAGATGCCGATACTGATCAATCATGTTTAACGGCCTATAATATACCGTTTTTCTATCATCTTTATACAGGAGATATTTTATCCGTACAACAACTTCGTCATGGTCTTCAACTCGTTGTTAACAAACATGAATCACTTCATACATCACTCATCTACGATGCTAACAAAAACTTGCTCATGCAGCGAGTGCTTAGTAAACAAGATATCAACAATGATATGTTTACAATTACTGAAAGCACTTATGAAACAGATGAACAACTCAAAACTATCTTCGAAAATGAGAAATGTAATCCTCAACATTTCGATCTCATTAAAGGTCTTGTCCTTCGATGTCATATTATTTACTATAAACAAATCTCTTCAAATAACATCCTTTCCGATAAAGATATAATTATCTTCAATTTTCATCATGCTTTCTTTGATTATCCATCAATGAATATATTTCTTGATGATCTTGATGAAGCTTATAAAACAGACCAACTAACAATTGATAATGCCACTACTCTACGTTATATCGATTGTAGGCATATTCAATTCCTTGTTCTATTCAAACTACTTTTTCTTTCTTCTTGTTTAGATGCTGTTATTGAACAACATATGTCAATGACTGGTGCAAGTATGTTTTGGCTTGATGCTCTACATGATTGTCATCTCGATCAATTTTTATCATTACCATATGATCGACATCGTCTTATGAATGATCATCGAACTAATCGGGCAACATTTGTCTCCTTTGATTTTGATCGAGATCTTTCACATCATTTTCTTCTCTATGCATCATCAAATAATATCAAATATGAACATCTAGCACTTGCGACTTATTTTATCTTCTTATTTAAATTAACGAATGCTGAAAAAGATTTATGTATTTCAATGAATATCAATAATCGTTATAGAGATGAACTAAAATATATGATTGGACTGTTTGAGAATGTTATTCCACTACGGTGCCTACTAAATCCTACTTGGTCCTTGTGTCAATTTGTTGAAAATGTTCGAGAGATGACATCCAATAGTATGAAATATTCATATTTTCCTCTTCAACGTATTCTCAATCAACATCCAAATATATCAAAACCAGCATTTCTTGATATATCATTTCAATTTCTATCATCTATGATAACAATGGACAATAAACTAATAATGATTGGTGATAGTCAACTTTCTTCAATTCCTTTCACAATGAACATTAATGATTTCTCACTTCTGATCCAACATGATCACAATATCAACCAACTCTCATGCACAATCAATGCATCACTTGATTTATTTAATGTAGAAACAGTTGATAAGATATCGCAACGATTTCATTCAATCTTGAATCAATTATTTATATCTGTTGATGATCAAATGGAGAAACCAATCTATGAAATATCATTAACATTACCAAATGAAAGATTACTCATGCAATCAATGAATAATACACAGGTATCATTTTCATCTTCTGTCACTTGTATTCATCATGAATTTGTATATCAAGTAATGAAACATCCACAGAAACTAGCTGTTGAACTAGATGAACAATCATTGACATATTGTGAACTCTTGTATTATGTCCAAGTGTTATCTTTGAATCTTATGAATACATATCATATTGTTCCAGGTGAAATTATATGTCAATGTGTTGAGAGAAGTTTGTCGATGGTGAGTTGATCTTTGAGATTGATGTTTAATGTGATTGAAGTTTTCATATTGTATAGGTAATTGGCATTATGGCGATTGAAATGAGTGGTGGTGTCTATTGCCCATTATCATCCCGAGATCCACAACATCGTTTACATGCTCTCATACAACAAACAGAATGTCTTCTTGTTCTTATTCATTGGTTGACAAGAGCAAAATTTCATAATAATGATATTGTTTTAGTTGATATGCATTCGATTTTGACTAATAATGATTTAGAGAGTGATATTAATGTTAATCGACTGGCTGATATCAGAGTGACGCCCAATAATATTGCTTATATCATTTTTACAAGTGGGTCAACTGGAATACCAAAAGCAGTATGCTAACATTTGGTTTACTCTTCGTTAGTTTTGATTGCTCTTTCTTCTATCAGGTTCAAGTTCGTCATGAAAACTTCACGCATTCTATGCACTCTTTGATAAATATCAATATATTCAACGAAGATGATATAATTGTCCAAATGGCACGATGTTCATTTGACATTCATCTTTTTGAAATAATTGGCAGCTTGATGGTTGGTGCTGGACTGGTTATGCTTCATCCGGGAGGAACAATCGATTATGATTATTTGTCACTGGTTTTAGACATTAAACAAGTTTCATATATGGATGGTGTGCCAAGCGCAATGTACACTTTTTTTAGCTTTGTGCAACTTGAGGAAAAGAAAGATGCTTGTAAATATCTTCGGTGTCTTACTGGTGGCGGTAAGTATCGTATAAGTCCGTCCATAGCATCACATACTCTCTCTTATTTGTAGGTGAAAGTTTTTCTGTAAAGTTAGCCACTTTGGTCGGAAATAATCATGTACAAAACTGTACAGTTATTAACTGCTACGGACCGGCCGAGGCAACTGTTAATAGTACATGTCATATAGTTGATATTTCAGGAAAGGCTCAAAACATTTCTATTGGCAGGCCATCTCCTAACTATCAATGCCTGATCTTAAATGAGTTTCTACAAAACATATGTATCAACGAAGGAGAACTATTTGTAGGAGGTGTAGGTGTTTTTGCTGGTTATCTTGGTCGTGATGACTTAACTGCAAAAGCTCTTATTGAAATAGATGATCAACTATTTTATCGAACAGGTGATCTTATTAGAATGGATGACAATGGTCTTCTTCATTATCAAGGAAGAAAAGATCATCAAGTCAAACTTCATGGGCAGCGAATCGAACTTGGTGAAATCGAGCGATGTTTACTTAACATTACATCTATATCTGCGTGTGTTGTCATGAAATGGAATGATGATTATTTAGTTGCTTATGTTGAAAGTTGTGATATTCATGAAGAACAACTACGTGAGCATTGCCAATCTCATCTTCCGCCACATATGGTTCCATCGATATTTATCATACTTGATAAATTACCTTTAAATCCAAATGGAAAAATAGATCGAAAACTTCTACCGCCACCTGATTTTTCATCGTCAACTGATAATATTGATGGCAATGTGGCGCACACTACTTTAGAAAAACAATTACAAGATATATTCAGTGAAGCTTTCCATATTGAATCTCCTCGTATTGAAATTTCTTTTGGTCAACTTGGTGGAACATCACTCGGTGCTATCCTAGCACTTACACTGATTCGTCAAAAGGTCTCGAATAAAGTTCACATTGGTCTTTTATTTACCAATCCATCTATTCGACAGCTGGCTATAGCAATAGAACCTTTCTTGATTTTGAATCAATCACAAGAGACAGTGTTTACAGCCAATCAATCTGTTGAAACACATGCTCGTTTTTCACCTTCGTTTGTTATAGAATCTGTAGGTATTGCACTCCTTGTTTGTCAGTGGTTCTTGCCAATCATGGTGATTCATCGATGGTGCCCATTCCTTTTCCCAGTCTTACCAGCGTTTCATCTTTTATTCTATGCCATCTGCTCACATTTACTATCACCGCGAAACATCAATGATGACAATGTTTTCTCTTGTAATTATTATCAATGGTGGTTCTTAGATCGACTTTGGAATAATAATACATTTTGGTTGCAGCATATACTTGGCACACCACTTTACAATTATTATCTCTGTCTTTGTGGTGCGCGAATTAGTCTCAACACACATATTTATACTACAATTATCGATGCTCCATGGTTGTTAGAAATTGATGATGGAAGTTGGATTGCTACTGAAACGTATTTGAACTGTTTATATTTTAATGATGATAACACTTTCAAACTGAGTCCAATTAGAATTGGATCTAATTGTTCAATCGGTACACGATCGGTTCTATTTGATGGTGTTGATATGCAAAATAATATTATTGTTCAACCAATGTCATCAATTACTGGCTTCGTCGCATCTAAAACGATTGTTGATGGTGAAGAACATAAATCTCTTCCTTCAGACATTCCCATCGTGCAGAGTAACAGATCATTATCCATATGGCATAAGATCTACCAAATTGTTGTAGTCATCTCGATAATCTGTATTCATTGCACACTTTTGATCATAGTATATAAAGTTTATTCAGCTAGACAAATACCACTACTATTTAGTATTGCTTTTTGTTGGACTCTATGGTCAATTATTGGTTGTTTTATTTCGCTTCTCCTATTGAAATTCATAGTAGGGCCCTGTACTACTGGCGAAATATATCCGATAGCATCTAGGTTATATTTACAAAAAATATGGCTTCGTCAATTAGTTGTATCTAGTTTTCATCATGCTTGGTTATTACTGGGTGGCTACAATTATCTTTATCCTTATATTCTTCGTTGGTTAGGCGCTCATATAGAAGAGAATGTCAAACTCGCTGAGATAGGTACTTTTCTTTCCTGTCCAACAAATCTGTTAAAACTCGAAATGGGTGTTACTGCTTTTGGTGGAGTCTTAATAGTTCCTACTGAGTTGACGCTCTTAGGTGATCATCGTGTAGATCAAATAATACTTGGATCTCATACAAACCTTGCGAATGGATGTTCAATCTTGCCTGGTAGTTACCTTGCATCTGAGACAATGATTGGCAATTTAACACGCATCTCGCGAGAGACAAAAAGTAAATACAGAGAAGTTTTCATGGGTGTTCCAGCTCGTACAATGCCATTTCAAATGCCTCCAAGGCTAGAAATACAAGATGAGATTGAAATCATACCATTTTGGCATACATGTTTGTCTCATTATGTCAGCAAATGTCTTTTATTAAGCATTTATTCGTTTGGTGGTCTTGTTGGTGGATCAACCATTCATACAATACTTGTCTGTAGTCTTAATCGATGTCTTTCATATAAAAAACGCCATCAAATTGTAGAACAAATAATAGGAAGAATGAGTCAAGATTATGAACAATTTATTTGTCCATTTCTTGGTAATACACAATGGCTCATTCGACTATTTCGAGCATATGGTGCTCATATTGGTGAGAATACTATAATGCATGATATATCTAGTATTACCGATTATCATTTGATGAGTATTGGAGATAACGTTCGACTTAACGCTGGTACACAGATACAGGTAATACATACGTTTTTTGTTATTTACTTTCACATAAAATTGTTTTTCTGAATCTTTTCAGGGTCACAGTTTCGAACAACGTATTTTAAAACTAGCTCCTGTATCAATCGATAGTTCATGTGTACTCATGAGTGGCTCAATCGTAATGGCAGGCTGCAAACTAATGGGTAACAATCGTATTTATCCCGGGACACTGATAATGAAAAATGATCAGTTACCATTAAATACTCATTGGAAAGGGATTCCTGCACGTAAGTCACTCACACAGATGATCTGTTCTTATACAAGACTTCCAAGATATTGTCTAATCATTATTAATATTCATTTGTTTATATTCTATCATTTCTTTTTAGTGAGATATACTGGTCTTAAAAACGAGCATATAATAGTTCCGATATAAGAAGCTAAATTGAGTATAACATTTTCTGAGTCTTCTGCTGGCAAGTCATGATAAAATTATTTGATTGACGTTCTTTTTCACTGATACTAGATTTCTTCTAAACTATTCCGCTGACCACAACGTATGATATAATATACATCGAATCTATTTTTTATCGTACTCTTTTGTTAATATGGAATTCAATTAAATCTCTTTGTTAGTTTCAACTTATAATTATTTATCAGCGTCTCATACTAGTATTAGATCAGTTTAAAATTATTATTTCGTATTAATAAATAATAAATAATAAATATATGATACGACGAAGATATGATAGAGTATCGGATTCATAACGTTTTAAACTCTTGTTAATTAATTATTTTTCTAATTAGACCAGACAATCAAAAAACTACACAAAAAATCTTGATAAAATTGCACATTCACACTATTTTCGAAATGAATACAAAAATCTTGCACTTTTTTATATTCATCATACGTTTTCTAATATTTGTACTTTGATATCTTATTCTTTAAAATAGTTTTATTTGAAGTTAGACTGCTTACTTCGAATTGCTGCATATGAATTTATTCATTGTTTTCATTATATTATATCTCTTTCTTTTAGGATCTTGCACAGTAAAAGCAAAATTATCTCAGCCGACAATAGTTCATGACGATCTAGTAAAATATCAGCAAGGATATGAGACAACTAACAAATTCTTTCTCTGGAACGAACGAATTGCAAGTATCTATACGAATGTAAACGAATTACAATTTATGAACTATGGCTATGCAGATATGGATGAATATATCGATGATCATACTGGCTATTATTCAAGAAAGCTTTATGAACAGGTATGTAGAAAAGAATACAAGACTCTATTTCAGTGTTTCATTTTTGGCCTACCTCACATTGATCATCAACAGAGATTGTCATAATCTGTGATTGATAAGGAATTTGTATGAATATGAATATAAAATTGTTTGATTAGATGCTATATACTCTAAATATGAAAAGAAAATCATCCAGATCAACTTATTTACATATAGTCGAGTTGATATACAAAGAAAAATCGAAAATGTTGTGATTTTTTCAATGTACAAGCCATGATTAGAATATTTTGTTTTATTTTCCAGGTTCTTGCAAATGTGACATTAACAGATCAGAATGTCCTTGAAATTAATTGTGGTAGAGGTGCTGGTGCTGCATGGTGTGTTCATACTCATAAATCTCACTCTTACATTGGAACAGATCCTTCTCAAGATGTCATTAACTTATGTCAACGACTTTATTCGACAACTCCTCGACTTTCTTTCGTAGTAGCTGATGCAACAAAACATTTACCGTTCGAAAATGAGTCAATTGATATTATTCTTTGTATTGAAGCAACACATGCTTTCGACGAACCAATAGCAATCACACAGTTTGCTAATGAAGTCACTCGTGTACTTCGTCCAAATGGATATCTTCTATGGTGTGATTTTTGTTACATAAATGGATCAGGTACATCAGTTTATGATCTGATAGCAAATGATGAATTAATTATTGAAGAAAAGATTAATATTACAAGGAACGTTCTTCATGCACTTGACATTCAAAATAAATCTCGTACTGATTTCATTCAACGTTATATTCAACCTGAAGAACAAGAACATTTTCGTCGGTTTGCTGGATTACCTGGTACTCAAGTTTATGAAGACATGAGCCAAGAACGTTCACAATATTGGCGAGTTGTATTTCGAAAGAAGACAACAATAGATGTATCTACCATCTGAAATCAAATTTTAACTGAACAATAGAAACACTTTTTCTTTTTTCAACTGACTTTACTTTTTATTTTTATCTTCAATTAACAATGTCATATTATTCTACTTCACACTAATATCTTATTTTTATTTCTTAACTAATAAATTATCTTTTTATTTTTGACACAATTGTTGTATTGGACTTTGAATCATTTGATTAGTTTTAGTTGATATAATCAGAATAAAAATAGAATGTAATTTGGATTAAATAAGATCTATCTAAATTAACAACAAAATGTCATCAAATTCGCCGTGTAGGATGGATGTGTACAATGAATAGGGTACCAACACTCTCACATATTCGCACCCATACGCAAATCGACACCCTCAAGATTGAAAGTTAATCTGATACATCTATTAAAAGAAGTTATTATCTATTATAGATGAATATTATAATCTACCATTATGATTTTCATATATTGCGTAGTCGAAAACGCTTTTTCGTTGTATTCTTATATTTCTTTTTCAATGATATAAAATTTTATTTTATAGTGACATACACATTAATATGCTTTTCTTTACAATTACAATTTAATTATTGGCATAAAATCATAGACAGTCTCCTTGTTTTTATATGAAAATTACATTTGTTCAATTATTTATCCTGCACGTCGTTTGTCACTGCTTGTTGCTGCACGCCATTGATCCCATTCCTATTTATTAAATACATACATTTCGATTTCTCAATAAATTTCTTTTTACTTCAAGTTTTGGACACCATCGTTGAAGACCAGTAACTTTATTTATACCCAATGCTCGTTCACATCTAAACAATATTTTTAATATTGGAATAAATATTTTTTTTTCATTTTAAATTTACCGTTCTTCATATTTTTCTTTAGCTTCTCGACGTTGTTCACGTGGAAATGGAATACCAAAAAGACGTTTTTGTAAGAATTGTTGTGCATCATGAGCAGCTAATAAAAATAAAATAAAATCGTATCTTTTTTTTCATATAATATTGAAATATACTGTAGTCATTTTCATCATCAGTATACGCTCGATGAACAAAAGTGAAGATTAATATAATACAAGCCAGAAAAAACAAGAATTTATTCATTGTTAAATATTGTATGAATATAGAATGATAATGATATGAAAGATTCTTTCTTATTCTATAGAAGATTATCTCCTAAAGCAATTGTACAAACATTTGTCTTTCAAGTGCTGACAACTATTCATGGTCTAATTAAAGAAGATGAATGATATAGATAGTATACAGTTATATTTATCAACACTTTTATGAATAATCATCAGTTTGTTTTTCTCTTTATAACGAATAAAGAATATTTATATCAGTATCATTTATTTCATATAAGGGTAACAAGAACTAAGAGGTAGATATCGCATAACTTATATATTTTCTATTTCATTCTTTTTTTTATAGACAATGAAGAAAATTTCAATAACGCTTCTTATCTGTATTGTTACTTTGGTTATTATTCTCAATAATGATTGTATACAAGCTGCTGAAGAAGATAATTTCGAAGAAGGTAAATATATCTATCTATCTTATTTTTTTATAGATCAGAAAAAGATTTCCTTGATTTCTCCGTTTGCGCATTCTTTTTTTCTCTCTTTTAAATTTTCAATTAAACGTTTCGATCGTATGTGTGTGTGTATGTAGACCAATTGGATGCACTTTCGTTTCTTGTCGACAAACGGGCTTATAAACAATTTAAAACCACATGTGAAGAACACAAACGTGAAGCAAAAGCAGCATATGAATTACGATGTGAACCATCAATTACTCGTAAATTAACAAATAAAGATGCAGCACAGAAACGTTATTGTCCTAATTTAAAAGATTGGCCGGTTTTTATTAAATATGAAGTACAATAACTTTTTTTGCTTATTTTTTCTGTAATATTTTCTAATCATTTTAAATAATATATTGATCCCTGGTCATTTTTTGTCCTCGACCTATCGAAAAACTTTATTCTCTCTCTGTTTTACCCTTTGTTCTGTACTATAGCTCGTTCTACATCAAATGAATTTCTTCGTCGAAAACGTGGCATTTTTCATCCAGGATTGACTGCATGTGAAGAACAGAAACGTGAAGCTCGAGAAGATTACGGTATGAGTTGATTATTGATTTGGAAGAATTAAAAATCCTTGTTTTAAAATAAATATGTATAGAAGAACGATGTGAACCATCAATTCCATGGCAACGAGATCGTAACAGCAATCGTTTTTGTCCTGATATTAATGATTGGCATGAATTAGATTCATATGAAATTGGAGAGGGAGGTGGTTTTGATTTCGATACGTTGGGAAAATTAATACCACAAAATATGAGTATCGAAAAAATTATTGGAGGTGTCGTTGCTGGAATTATTACTGCAGGCGTTGGTGGCAAACGAAGTGTTAATGATGATGATGAATGACAAGTTTCTTTTTCTCAAATATTAATTTTGATGATATATATCCACTGATCATCTGTCTTTTTCCGTATTTTTTAATCGAGATTATATCATAATCGTGCTAATTTTTTCTTATTGCGTTCCCGTTTTCGATTATTCTAGATTAAAAATACTTATTTTTAATTGTAATATTTTACTTCTAATGTTGATATATCATTAAATGTATTTGTCTCGTTTTATTATATACTTGTTTTTATTTTTGTATATATATGTTTAGGAGCTGCACATGCTAATCGATTTTTAAAACGAACTTTTTTTCATCCCGGCGCAACCAAATGTGAAGAACAAAAGCGTGAAGCACGAGAAGATTACGGTAATTTACTTTCTTTTATTGATATGATATATTGAGAATATCTTTTCTGTTTTTGTATTAGAGGAACGATGTGAACCATCATTTCCACTCTTCCGTAATACAGGAACACGACGTTTCTGTCCGGATATTCATGATTGGAAAGAATTTGATAATTATGAAATTGGTGATGGATATGATTCACGTGATCCAATGGGTGGTGACAAAAAGAATACAGGACATAATAAAGAACGAAATCAATACGAGAGAACCAATGATCGAAATCAATACAATAGAAACAATGATAGAAATCACTATAATACAATCAGTGATAGAAATCAATATAATACAGTTAATGATAAAAATAATTATCCAACTTCATCTAGTACTAATCGTAACAATGATTATGATATGGAACATGTCGATTAAAAGAAAGCATCAAACTAAACTCTATAATCAAGCTTATTTGTGAAATATTTATTCTTTACAAATAATAAATGAAAATTGTATAAAAATAGAACGAGCCTTACATAATCAAGCACATGTGACAAGAAAATCTAACAGTTTCTTGATCTTATCAATCTTGCCGATGACACCTGATTAAGACATTTTTAGTAATATCACGAGCATAATATACTTCGTATCTAATCAGACAGATACATACTGAGTGATGATAGATAGAAAAAATGGAAGAGCATTAGCAAATAGACTTACTTTCACTTGTGAAACTATAAAAGAATATACTGAATACACAAATTATAATATAGATTAAGATTTTTATAGTCAAAGAACAACAATACTATCAATTTTTTATTTAAAAAAAATCATGAAAAAAATAACAATATGTTTTACTACCATTAAAAGATGTTGGAGAAAATTAGTCGTTCTTTTTTCCAAAAAAAGAGATAATTCAATAGTTAGAATTCTTGAACTAAAAATAAGTCAAGTAGAATGAAAACGATCATTGACTTATTGAAACGACTGCTATTAAGAGAGAATCAGTCCATTACTCATTCTAATAATGTCATTTAGAATCCAATCAAAATCTGCCTACTGTTGCTTAAAATTTTGAAATCATTAAAACAAAAACATCTGTTTATATTTCATATAAAAATATATTTAAATTTAATCAATTGCATAATTAACTGACAATGGTAAACCAACTGATTGTCCATATATTGAAAGCCAAAAAAGAAATTTCTTTTTCATTGATTGATCTGATACTTGTTTCAATAGTTTTTCTGTATGACATGGATGAAGAATAAAAAATGGTCGATGAAGTATTGGATGTTCTTGTTGTGTTATCGTTTCATACATATTTGAATTGTTTTTATGTGCAAATAATTTCCAAACATCATCTAATGATAATAATGATCCATCTAAATGACTGATATTAAAATATAGTACAGGTACAGAATAACTTTCACTAAATACAATATGAAAATCATATTTTAAACAAGTATCATCAATAAATGAATAAATTAAATAGGATCCTTTTGGTGCTTTGATTAATTGCCAACGATCATGAATTTGTTTTGATTGATCATAAAGATCATTTATACATTGATTAAATTCATCTAATGTAAAAGTCATTTTTCTAGAGATCAAAAAAAAAACTAGTTGAAGTTTATTTTTGTTTTTTGTTTTCTGTTTTTATACACATATATGTTTTTGTCGCGTACTTCTTCTCTTACTAATGGAATGAAGACGTGATACAAGAACGATAGTGTGCAATGAGATAATAATAATAATAATAATAATATATATATATATAAAAAAAGAAAAAAAAAAAAGAAATAAGTAGAACAATGAAAAAGAGGAAAAAAAGCGAAGAGAAGAAGGAAGATCGACAACAGTTGGCACACTGAGAATAATAAAGAAACGAAACGAAAGAAGAAAAAAAGGAAAAAAAAGTGAATAATCAACAACAGAGACAAATGACACGAGAATTAGACAAACGTTTTAAAAAACATAGAATTAAAGACAATAGAACACATATATACTATGAACAAATCGTTGTGCGATCGAAATCAAGCATAATCACTTTGGTATCTTCAGTGCTGTTACGACTACCAGCGGCGCATACTAAAGCTGAATCTGTACATTTGATACGCCATACAACACCTAGAAAAAAACAGAAATTCATTAGAAATATTTGTTATAATCACTCTCTTTTCTTTGCTCATTTTTTACCTCCATTGCCAGTTGATTCAAGTTTAACAAGATTTCGTATAAAATCGCCTGTGTTTAAATCCCATAATTTTACAGTTCCATCATCACCTGAACTAACTACATAATTTAATACTACTTGCACCCATGTTACAGCTGATGCATGTTTATTTCTTCCTAGAAAGAAAAATTATAAGAAAATATTTACAAGGATAAATTATAAAGATTTGATCTAACCAGCTAGTGTATGCAGACATTTTCCTGATTCAATATTCCAGATTTTTACAGTCGAATCAGCATTACCAGATACAAGAATATTTCCACGTAATTGCATTCCACTTGTTAATGATAAATGTCCAGTTAATTGATGTATACAAGTACCTTGTTCAACATCCCACACACGAATCATACAATCCAATGAACCGGATACAATATGTTTACCATCAAACTACAAAATATTAAATAAAAAAACATTTTAAATTAGTCTAAAGATACATACGACAAGTGAATAAACTCGATTTGTATGTCCTTCAAGTGTATGTACACATCGTTCTTGATCAGGTAGCCAAACACGTATAGTATGATCATATGCACCTGATACAACATATTTGCCATTATAACAAACACATCGAACAGCTGCTGTATGTCCACTTAACATATGAAGTCGTTCACCTGTACGAATATTCCACACTCTATTGAAAGATAAGAATTATTTTTATAAATTTTATTATGAAATATTTTTATTTAATCATACCGAACAGTTGCATCACGTGACCCAGATACAACAATATCACCATGTAATGCTAGGCAACGTACTGTTGATGTATGTCCATATAAAATATGTTGACAAACACCTGTATTAATATTCCAAACACGTATTGTTCGATCTGTACTTCCACTAACTATTAAACCATCTGTCATTTCACTACACCATACACCGCCATTATGTCCTACTAGTGTTTGTTCACACTAAATAAAAATAAAAATAAATACTTTTCTAAAGAGAAAAATTATCAAAATTTACTTTGCCAGTTGCGACTGACCAAATTTTTAATGTATTGTCATCTGAGCCTGATACAATACGGTCTCCATCAAATTGTAAACAAGTTATAACAAAATCTTCATGACCACGTAATACTAATGGTTCAGGTAATGGTTCTTCATGTTGCCAAACATATTCTAAATGTTTATGACAAGTATATGAACGTTTCCATTGATTATCAATTGTGTCATCAAATATAGTTGCTAATTTTTTAAATGGAATTTGTTTTTTTTCACATATACGTTTCCAAAGTAATGTATCATTACATGTTTCATACCAAGATCGACATGTGCGTGATGCTCGTGCTACATCATTCGCTGATAAATATTTAAGTATATGTAATGCTAATTCTCGTGGAAGATCACGAATAAAATCACGTTGGAAATATGGTTCTATTTGATTTTTAATATGATTTAACTGAAGTGTATTTGTTGAACAAGTATGTATAAGAGCTTCAGTTGCACGATTACGGTCATCATTTGACATGGCTAAAAATATCGATAACCAGTTGACTACATCAGCTGAAAGTGGTGACGATGGCGGAGATGATATGGAATCAATGATGGTCGAAGATAATGATGGAGTAGTAATGGCAGTTGATTTTAAATCAGGCTGTTCTCGAAGATTACTAAAAATACAAATTTTTTTGCAAGGTTATATATATTAGAATATTATGTATAAGCACACACGCAATCTTATGTGTAGATGGAGAAAAATGCTCTTGCCTATTAAATCAAATACTGTAACATTTCTTAAATTGCTAAGAAACTAAAATTGAATATATTCTTTCCTATAATCAAATGTAAAGCTTTAAAATGATTTCTTTTTTTTTCTATTTGAAAATAAATCCAAATATCCATTTTTAATTAATTAAATTGATTTTCATCTATGTTGTCATACGAAGAGAATGATATTAACATATTAATTTGTTGAATAAAAACTATCATTGTATCTCAGAAAAGATTGTGATGTAATTTGATGAAAACTTAATAAGATTATTTATATATATATATACACATTATCTATCATCTATGAACCGTGTTAAATTTCAACACAAATAAGCATCAATGAAAAATAACACCAAAGTAAATATAAAATTCTTCTTATAGGATATTCTTAATATTCGATCGAATATGTATATACTAACTGTACAATTGAATTAAATATTAATTCATTTCGATATTGTCTAAAGTATTTATTAACGGTGTGATATAAATTTAAATTCGTTAGTTCATAAATCATTATTATATGAAAAGATTTTCGTTGGTTTCTGTTGTTTTTTAATTTACGACACGATGAAAACATTATCGTGTAATGATAAATATAAGAAAGTACAAAAAGAACGAATCAAGGTCAAGGTGACGGTGTACAGGTGCACGTTGCATTTTTCATTAGTAATACATGCGAGAAAAGAAAAGTATGAAACATATTATATTCTGTTTTAATCAATATGAAAAATTTTCAATATCAGCATTATTATGATTTGATTGGGCATAGAAATCATCGAAGTATTTTCACAAATGCTTTATTGACTTTAAAATCTAGACAATTGTATAAATTACCTGTTACAAAGACGTTTAGGATCGTTAGTAGTAATAAGTGATTCTTCAATAGTCAGTTGTCGTTTTCCAGGTGAACGGATTTGTTGTGATGATGATGATACACCGGTATAATCAGCAAGTATCTGAGTTGCTGTACAACAATCATTAACAATTTGATCGGTTAACGATGGTGAACTGGATCGATCAGGTGATGATAGAATTCCAACTGATTCTGATGACATATCTACAACAGTTAATTATAACATACAATATATATTCTTGAGCACCTCTAGATTTTTACAAATAAAGGAAAAAAATAATAATAATTATGATAGAAAAAAAAGATGTTAATGAAATCTACACAGACAAACAAAAAGGAAAAAAAACACTTTTTTTTTAATTTTGTTTTTAATCACTTTCATCATACGATCCATCATCATCGTCAGCCATATCAGCCATTTGATCATCATCATCCTATCCATAACAAAAATTTATAGAAGAAATAAATTAAAAATATAAATCTTACATCGATTCCTAAATCAACATCATCTTCATGTGATGATAAAGTATTATAAGCAGATTTTTTTCCATTTTTCCCATTATTTAATCCGAGTGCACCAGCACGTGATGGCGCAACATAATCATCGAGTGTTTTAGGAATTGTTATACCTTCTTGTTCAGCAACTAAACGTGATTCATTAACTTGTTTTTTT